AATTATCAAGGGAGATTTCTTCCACCTCTACAGCAAATAGAATGTAAATGTGTAAAGTTTTACATTAAGGCAATCCAGCAAGTGAATATTTAAATCAGTTCCTACTGATTTAAATAGGGCTCAGGAGATAGATGGGAAACATCAAAGACCTTTGGAAAAAAGACAGATCCTGACATAATAGCATTTGCAATATGCTTTCTGGGCCTGATCCTGCTCTGCTTTTATAAATACCTCCTCAATTAAACCAGAGGAGAAGCAGATGATTGCAGATGAGGTATGAGGGAGGCTCCATACAATTGTTCCATTGGAGGGATTGCACAATCTGAAAGCCTGAAAATGCTTCTGCAGGGAGTCAAACGTCTCTGCCTGGACAACAGAACTTGCTGCTGTCTGGTGGGAAACTTCTGAACCCCTGTAGTGCCTGGTGCTTTTTTTACCATGTATGAAAAGAGGTCAGTGCAATGAACGACTGATGCTGAGCTCCCCTGGACAGCACAGCTTTGTTTCTGATGCTGTTGCTGCACCAATGTGTCCCAGAGAAGCAGCTTTCCACGTGCACAGCAAGGCTGGTGTCTTTCAGGATATCTTTTCTCTTCTCTAGTCAAGCATGCAAGGTCCCTCATGGATGCAGCCCTCCCAGCTGCCACTGGGGAGAATAGGTTTGTTCCACAGTGCTCCCTTCTTCCCTGCTCCTCCCAGCACTGGGCTTCCCCCAGGAAAGATTTCTGTGCCCACAGATGTCACGATAACACACACTTGACCCTGTGGGCCATCTTGCCTGCTCTTCTCTTCCTTACCAGCTTGCCGCTCCGTCAGGGATCTTCCTGTTTAAATATTGGATGAGAGTCTTTTAAAATATACATTGGGAGGGCTGCTGTAATTCCAGACAGGGGCTCCAGTGACATGGGCTGTGGATTGATTTGGCTGAAGGGGAAATGAAGAAGCCGTTGGCCTGCACAAGGCTAATTTCCCCCTGCCACCACTGCACTTACCCTGCCTTCTGCTCTCACAGAAGTCTTGAGGACACAGACTCTTCTGCATCCCATTTTAACTCTGATACGAGCTATTGTTTCCCACTCTTTTGCCTTTCTTCCCTTGCATCTCACCTCCATGAGGATTTTTCCATTCCTTTTAGCTGTTTCTCCAGCACAGCCCTGTGTGCATGTACAGGGCAGACAGCAACGATCTTCCCTGAGGCTTGTGCCCGCTCGCAGATGTCCTTGTGGAACAGATGCAAGCCAGAGGCATGGAAATGGGCAAGCTTCCACTGACAGGGTAACAAGCTGAAACCAGGGTTCCAGATGAGCTTCTGAAAAAATCCAACAACCCAGCAGTTTGAAATGCTGCTCTGCCTGCAGTCCCAAAGCAGCTGGGAGGCAGTCTGCATCAAGTCCCTTAAGGCACTGTGTGGGCTGGGGTTTTTCCACTCCTAGAGATGAATTCTCAATTCTCTATTCTCCCTTCCCATAGGCGTTGCATGAGTCCTGATGTGTTTGCAAGGGAGCTTCCTGCCCCTGGAATTCGGGGCATTCCAGGCCCCGAATGCTGCCCATGACAGCACATTATATGGCTTCCAGGACCAGCACTGAGGACCTTCCCAAACTGGGATGAGTCACAAGTGGAGCACCCAGCATGAGCTGCAAGGACTGTCCCCCAGCCTGGCCGGAAGGATGCTCAGGCCACTGTGGGGTCAGTGGCAGAGATCATGTGTATTTGCTTTGAGAAATCCCCAAGATTTAGCTCTTTAGTGGGTAATTAAAATTCCAGCTGCTCCTTGTGTAAAGGCCCATGGGAAACCACAGTCATAGTGATGCTGCAGGCAGATTTCATAACTCAGCCAGTGACTAAACAAAATGGGGCCCAAGAGCCAACAAAAATAGCAATGCTGCTCTTGACCCTACATTCTGCCCAGGTCCTGGCATAAACCAGTCCTGGCTGGGACGAGGACAGCAGGAAGCCCTGGCCTGACCCGTGAAGCACCCGGCTCGGGGCTTTCCGCAAGTGGGAATTTTTGGCACTGCAAGGCCGTTGTTCCTGGGGATGTGTTGTTCCCATGAACCACTTGCTGAGTGCTGCCACTGCACTGACGGCCCCACTGGTGGCCTTAAAACAGATGGGAGAGGCCAAAATGTTCCCTGGAGGCTGAACTCTTGCCATGCGCCTATGGAGCAGGGTCTGCATGTGGGGTTGGTGGGCAGCAGCTCCATGTCCCTCGCAAGGGAATTTTTCCTCTGATAACACTTATAATGAGAAATTGAGGTCTTGAGTGCTCCCATTCTTGGGTGAACTGAAAAAAAAAAGTATTTCCTTCCTATTAAGGCTGTTGGGGTTTCTGGCATTAGAAATGCAGTTTGTGCATGCACACATGTGAAATGATGTGTCAGAAACAGGCATAAGAAGATGAAAAAAAAGAAATCTCCAACGCTGAAGTTAAAGCACTTAAGGAATTGGCAGAGACTTCAAGAGCCAGTTTTGCTCCTAATGAAGTCGGTGGAAGTGCTGCTATGGACTTCAAGGGGGCCATAATTCGGCTGTAACTCAGTAGGAAGCTGGAGGTGTTGATTAATAAATTGGAGACAACGCAGAGGAAAGCTGCTCAACTTCTTGCTAACAGATGTGCCGAAGAAGAGCCTTTAAGTCAAAGTATGCAGGGAAGGAACTGTTTTTTCTTACATTTGCAAACAGAAGATAGGAAAAGAAGAAAAAAAAGCTATCTGCTATTCATGTAAAATGGTAGAAGTGGTATTAGTAAATACCAATGTATTTCTAAGCAGCCTTCTGTTCCCGGCGAATAGGTCATGCTCCTGAAAAAATGTATTAGCAGACGCCTGAGCAAGTGTTCAACACATTCCTTTTTCTCAAAAGTCAGTATTCAGTGGAAAATGTTACCACTGGAGATTGTGGATTCTGGAGATTGTCCTCAGTTTGGTGTATGCCTTTCATTACTCATCCTTGGCTTTTTGCTCGATGATTTGTACATGAGTCGCCTCTGTTAGAATTCTGACAGAGGTTAGCTTGGCCCCATAAAGCTATTCGTAGCTCAGATCCATTTTCAGGCTGAGTTTGCAAAACACTTAAGGCTGAAAAAATTCCTTTAACATAATTTACAGCGGCTCACAGTTGAAAAATTTCCTGTTTGTTCCTTTTTACTTTCTGAGCTTTCAAGTAACTTTGGCTTAGGGAAGATATTCAGAGATCTTCAGAGAAAAAACTTGTGAGGAAAGTGAAATGTTTAAGCATAAGAAGTCTTTGACTTCAGTGAACGCTTTGGAGGAAAATTTGCAGCCATAATTGTCTGTGATTCTTTTTGTCTTCTTCTCTACTGTTTCCTTTTTTATTTGGGGGGGGAGGGGGGAAGAGGGGTTGATTGTTTGTTTATCTGCTTGTTGCATTTGATTGGAATTGCTTCCTTGCCTCCTGTTGAGTAGGAAGCTCTCCTGGAGTGCACTGCCAAAGCCCAGCTCCAGACAACCTTCTGCTGCATCCCATTCCCGTGGGCTGGACCTGAGCTTCCTGGGGTCATCTTCATGCCCTGCTGGGCACGTCCAGCCCCTGCTGCTGCCCTGGGGTTTGGTAATGCTGCATGGAGCACAGACAGCCCTGCAGGCGCAGCACGAGTTTGTCATGCCTTGGAACGGATGTAGGGAGATCTCAGGAAAGATGTTGTTGTTCTCAGCGTTGCTTTGAAATGCCTTGGCAAGGAATTCCCCTGTCGTTCACAAGCACGTCAAAATCCAGGATGGGATCTCAGAGCTTTGGGGATAGGTCGAGAGGGTGCAGAGCTCCCGGCTGTTCCTTCCTCTGTTGTGTCTCAGTACTTCATTTCCGAATCAGCTCATCCAGCTTCATGCATTTCCTTTCATCTGAGTGGAGCCCACGTTGCTCTGTGCCCTTCTACATCACCCCCCTAGCCCCAGATCTGCCCCTCAGAGATGCACCCAGACCTGGAAGCAGGCTCTCTGCAAACTGGCACATAGAACATGGGCAGCCCCATAGGGGCTGTCACACAGTGTGTGCTGGTGAGACTCACTTGGGCATTTCACACAGATGATCATCTCAGCCTCCCTTCCCCTGGGAAGGGGTGTTGGAAGGCACCTCTGGGGATCACCGAGTCCAACCCCACTGCTAAAGCAGGTTGCCTATAGGAGCAGATGAGCTGTTTGAAGCTTGTTTTTTCCCTCTCTGAGGAATGAAGGGAATTTTGTGTATGTGCACGTAGATCTGGGCTGCAGCCAGCCCTTCACTCAGATGTGCACCTTGAGCTTGTCTTGGAGTCGGGGTGGAAGAGCTTTGTGATGAAGCAGCAGTTCATCATCCAGCCTGAATTCTGCAGCCAGGGAGGAGGATGGGGACGACCTCAGACTTAATTGGCTTCAAAAATCTGACACACACACCAGGAGAGAGATAAAAGGATGCTTTGTAGGAGGCAGCAGCCTGACAAGCCAATTACACCGAGCGCACTGCCGGGGCTGTACCCTTCAGGACATCCCATCACAGGGGGAAGGAAGGAGCTGGTAGGACATCACTGAGCACATCAAACACATCCCAGGCTCAGTGAAGTGCCAGAGTGCCTTTGTTGGAGATTATCGCACAGCTGAATTGAAAAAAACAAACAAACAAAACCTGTACACAGGGTTCCGTACACGGAATCATAGAATGGCTCAGGTCGGAGGGGACCTTGCCGATCACCGAGCTCCAACGCCCCGCCGTGGGCAGGGCTGCCAGCCACCAGGCCTTCAACCCTGCAGGGATGGGGCACTCGTCTGGGCAGCAGCGCCAGCTGCTCACCGCCCGGCGTGACAGCGCTCAGCGCTCCGTCCCGTCCCGCGGGGCAGCGGCGCCCTTCCCGACCCCACCGCGCCGCCGCTGGGCGCCGAGCGCCGGGTGCGAGGCCGAGCCGCTGCCGCTGCCGGGGGGCGGAGTGCCGGGCGGGCCCGGGGGCGGTGCCGTTGGCTGGGCGGAGTGCCGGGCCGGGCCGGGCCGAGCCGAGCGGCGGCGGCGGCCTGGCGGCGCGGCGCTCGGGCAGCGGCGGGGCGGAGCGGAGCCGGAGCGGGGCCCTCGGCGGGGCATGCAGGTAGGGAGCGAGCGGAGATCCGAGCGAGGCGGGGCGGCGGCGGAGCGGGGCCGCAGACAAAGGGCTGCGGGCGGGAGGCGGCGGCGCGGCACGGGGGATGCGGAGCCCCGGCCTGGTGCCGCCGCTCGGTGGGACCCGGAGCCGCGAGGCCGAGCCCGGCTGCCCGCCGGAGGCCCGGGGCCGCGCCGTGCCGCCTGCCGCGGGCCGGGCGGGAGCTCCGGGGCCGGGGAGGTGCTGGCGGCGGTGGGCTCCGTCTCGCTCGTTTGGGGCGTTGGGAGAGTCGTGCCTCCGCCCCGGCTCCGCGCTCACCTGGGGAGCACCGGGGTCACCTGCCGATGATCGCTGCGCCCCCGGGCGCGGCTGCCGGTCTCCCCGCCCTCCCACGCTGCTGGCACGCCGTGCCCGGTGCCCTCCCGGCTGCCCATTGGGAACCCCGGGCCTCTCATGAAGATGCTCCTGTTGCTTGCTGCTGTCGGATCTTCCCAGGATGTCCAGGGTGAGTCAGCTGCTCGCCGGAGGTGTTAGCAGCACCGTGGGACTTCCATCTGACCCTCATCTCCGTCAAGCTCGTGGTCCATCAGGTCCCTCAACACCTTTCAAGCTTTCCATCTCTCAGTAAGCGACTCTGGGGGCTCTGGGAGAGGAGGAGAAGCGGTATGTGCCGTGTAGCTGCCTGGTGTTGTGTGCTGAAAGCTCCCAGGCTCTGCATGGCACCGAGTACTGCACGCAGTGGGTGCAGATGGCCTCTGAAAGTCAGAGCTGAGCTCGGCATGGGGCTAGGTTGGAGTGTCCCTGCTCGTGAGGATCATAAACAGCATTAATTAAAAATAATAAAGGATTAAAGGAGATCCGAACAGCACAGCCAAGAACTGCTGTAATGGTCCACTCCTTGGAGTGTCTTGAGTCTCCATAAAGCACCTTATAATCCCCTCTAGAAGAAATCCTTGCACTTACTCAGCTGCCAGCGAACTCCTGGAGCTTTAATGTATAGCTGTATCCATCCCCCAGCCCAAGTCTTTTGTTTTTTGACTCCACCTTTGCCTTTGTGCAGGCAGGTTGTCCCCTGCCTGGCATTCCAGCAGTGTCACCGGGAAGGCTTGTGCTCCCCCTGGACTGGATCCCATCGTTGCAGCCTCCTGCAAGCAGGGATTTTCCCTTCCCACGCTCCCACTGGTGCTGCTGGGTGGCTGCTGCTCCCTGTGCTCAGCGCTTCGCAGCACCGCCTTGTTACTGACAGCCTTCACGCAGCGGCTTTTCCTGCGACAGAGCTGCATCTTTGTTACTTTAATCTCTAGAGCGTTGTGTTGTTTCTTTAACTGGGGCTGAGCTGGCTCACCCGGGACTGAGGTGCGAACCAGGAGATGAGCGCTGTGCCCACTCCATCAGCTGCACACGGGGCCGCAGCGGAGGAAGTCGTTGTTTTCCAAATAAAACAACCAGGATGGATTCAATAGGAAATAAGTTTCTTGCTTCTGAGTGAACTTGCCGTGGGTGGAGAAGAAGGAAATTAAACAATAGAAAAAAACGTGCGTGGCTTGATAAGACAGGAAAATAACCTTGCTGGCTTCTGGTGAGGTGGCCGAGTATCTTCCCTCTGTGTCAGAGCTTGTTTTGGGAATAACCAAGAAGGACACAGCGATGCTTGTGGCTCTGGATGCCCGTGTGTCTCCGGGATCACCTGAACTCACCCCCAGGCTCCCATCCCACAGGTGCCCACAATGCTGTTGGCTGTGCCATCCCACCTGCAAAGCCATAGAACATTCCCCTGTTGTGCATCCCCAGGGCCAGAAAGCTCAGGCACGCAAAGCCTTTCCCGTTCACTTTGGGAAGCTGGTGGGGTTGCTTTGTTTTTGTTTTGGTGGGGATGGGAAACCCGTCCCTGTTAAGCAGACTGTGAGCTGCTTCGTTTTTTTTTCCCCTTTTCTTTCCGTGTCGAGCTGTCAGTACTTTAAAACAGGATGTATGTTAATGCTCTGTTGGTGGTAATTTAAACAGAAGAAAAAAAAGATGCCTCGCAAGTCAGAAACTAGGCTGGAGCCTGGAGAATGATTAATATCTTTTTCAGGAACGTGTCGTGGTGAAACACTGCACAGCCGAGCGTGTCCCTGCTGCAGCAGTGTCACCAGCAGCACCTGCCCCTCCGCCTGCAGGTTGCTTCTCTCTGGTTTTGGGGACATCTCTGGTTGCCCAAACCCCTGCAGGGGATAGAGGCTTGCTGTCCTGGTGAGCTGAGGGCTGTGCTGGGTATCAGGTGCAAGGCAGACACAATCCTTTAGTGACAGCTCCATGGAGTTGCTTCTCCAGGAAAATTACATTGTTAGCTGTCTCTTCATGATTGAGTTGAGATGAGGGGAGCTGGGTAGCAAGGTGCTGCCTGGTGTGCGGCCATTGCGCAGTAGCTGCTCTTTGGCTGTGTGCAGTGTGGGGTCATTGAGTGGGGTTGGTCATAAGGCATTGGTTGGTTGTGAGATTTTATCTGCTATGTGGACTTTATTATTTTCTTTCATCTCTTTTAGTTTTGACTGTTGACTTAAGTCTTGCTAGAATTATGTTAGGGCTCAAAGCAGAGAGAAACAAGTTATTAAGGTCCTATATCTTGCAATTGCTTTATGGTCATGAAAGGCTATGGTTTCCAATCTATCTAATGTGTGTTCCTAGCCCTGCTTGAATGGACTTTTTGGAGCTCAGGACCCTTGGGCTCCTTGGGTAATGGGCTATTTCTGGCTGAGGTGTCTCTTTTTGCATTTCTACAGCATGCTGTCCCTTGTGCACAGATGGCTTTAGAACCAGGGATGGGGAGAGGAGGATGTGTCTGTGGGGTTTGGGAGGAGGCGATGTTCAGTGCTGCTTCCTTGGGGACCGTTGTGGATTTTGGGGCTGGGGGGCTGTGCACGTTTGGTCCCCATTTGAGCATGTTCTAAGCACCATGCACCCAACTCTGTGGAGCAGCAGAGCAGCTGTTGCTGCAGGACCCCTGGAAATGTCGGGTGAGTCACGCAGCGCGGATGTAGGGAGAGGGCAGCCCGTGGCTTATGATTCATATTGTTTTCCTGCAAAAGCCATCGACTGTAATGGCAGGGCTTGCAGCAGATGAATCAATACTGAACTGTAAATCCTGCATGTGGCTGCAGGCTGGGGCTGGAGCTGCTTGGCTGGGACATGTCCTCCCCATAGGGGTCAGCTCCTTCCTGCCTTGCCCTGATGGAAGGGAGCACCACAGCTTGCAAGCATCTGCCATGCTCTGCACCTGCTGCCTGTGCTTCTGCGGGGCTGGAGAGCGTGACAGCCTCGGGTACTTTTGAAGGGTGGCAAAGTTTGTCTGGAGAAGTAATACCTTTTATTAGCCCCGCTAATACCTTTAGGAAAAAACAGATGTGCTCTGGGACATGAGGAGTGCCTCCTGTCTGGGTTGTGCCGGCTTTTCCAACTGCATTCATTGATCTAAGAAAAGATCCGACCTCTGCCTGGCCTGGCCCTGTCCTTGGAAGCAGCATCCCCAAGCATCGGCCATCAAGAGCCAACACCAGGGCATGCCTGCACCCACTGCGGGCGTTGGACACTGCACTCCTAATCCCACACACACTGTGAGCGCTCAGGGGCTGCCCTCAGCCAAAGCAGGACGGATGGGAGCAGAGGGAGCATCTCCAGAGCCCCTCGAGGAGGGGGCAGCTTGCACAGTGCCACAGCCATTGCTTCCAGTCCTGGGCACCGAGGGGCTCTCTGCAGCCCTGAGTGGTTCCCAGGGATGCTTTCAGTTAGTTTGCACTGCAGTTTTATGGACGCTCATTTGCAAAAGTGACATTTTGGGGCCAGATTAGTGTATGGCGGGGAGGCCTGCTGTCCCCTGAACAGCTGGTGGTTCTTCTGCAACTGGTTGAGGCTGGTCTCCTGCAGATGTCAAATTCCTCGTCATGGGAAGCTGTCAAGAAAAAGAAGCAGCTGCTCTGTACCAGTGGCTCCAGTGGTGCTGCCTGGGCAGCAGCAGCAGCAGACTGGGGATGTTGCTTGGCTGAGGGTCTGTAGATTTTTGGGGGTGTGCTGCATGATCCACGTTCTGCAGCTAAGCTAAGCCTTCCCTCCCCCTCCATTTGCAACAGGACCAGCAAAAATCTGGTTGAGCGAAGTGTTGCAAGTAGCAAAAGGTGGCACTGGGGCCTTCTCAAGGGGATGTATATTTGGGTTGGTGTCCCCGGACAGTGAGCAGGTGACACTGCAGCCTGTGGCTCCTTGCCTGTATATTAAACTTCATATAAGGTTCCCTTCCTTCACTCTTTTTTCTTTCTGATGATGCTTGGACTTCAGACCTTGCTTATCCAGAATGGCTCTCGGACGCTTGGAGGACCAGAAGAATTGTCATGGCACATTTCAGAGCAGTAAAATCGGATTCATTGTGGGGATTGTTTTTCCCCCCTGTGAGCCCACTTAAAATTCACGGCGAGTTTTGTCAGTAAGAACCTGTTTCAATTAACAGACAAAAGAAACTCTCCTCGTTAAGCGTCTCTTTCAATTAAGGTTCGGGAGAATTCCCCAAGCTCCGCTTCCCAATTCCTCATGAATGAGGGTGTTCCTGAGGCTTCAAGGGCAAAAAACACTGCACCAACACTTGCCTTTCCCTTCCCACTCTGAGAAGAGAAACATTTTCACGACTGGTTTTGTAGGAAACCTGAGCAAAACGCTACTTCTTTTCCAGTAAAACCCAAGCGTTAACGGGGCTGTCTGGGTGAAAAATGTCTCTTTCAGAGCCAGACACTGTGGCCAAAAATAACTTCTTTATGGGAAGCACTTTGACCATTTCTACTGGGTGCATCATTCGTCTAGCAGCTTGGACAGGAGGGTGGGCTTGCCCTGGCCACAGTGGTTCACCCCGATGGTCCTGCTGCCCAGACCCTTGGTGGATCTGAGGTGCATTTTCCCAATGCTCTCTTGTTTGCTGCTGCTCAGTCTATCACATCAAGCACATCCCTGGCACCCCAAGCTTGGGGCTGCACGTCGGTGTGCTCATCCTTTATTTCATATCTTTGGGATACTGGGATGGGCAAAACCACGCTGCTGTCCTTAGGATAGCTGGGCTGGGGCCGTGGCCCCGCCGGTAAGCACTTTGTTTTTATCCCTGGCATGTTGTAACTACTGTTTGCTAAGTACTTAAGAAGCCCATGTAATCTACTGCTAAGGCATTCCTTATCCAGCATTATAAAACTGCTCTGATAGCGAGCAGCCCTGCAGGTCGCCTCGGGAAGAGCCAGGGCCAGGTTGGCCAAAATGGGACTGTTTGTATCAAAAGTGGCACGGGGCTACTGGAGCAGCTTCCCCACAGCCAGAATTCCACCCAGCTGGGGAAAAGCCTTCAGCAGTCAGTGGCTGATAAAGCAGTGATGCAGAAGTGAATGTTTAAAGGGAGATTTCTCACGCTGGTTACTTCTTCATTTCTAATGCGCGCTCTCCTGTCTTAAGCTCGCGGTTGTGTCTTGAATAATATGATGGCATTAATCTCCTCTCTAAGGATGTGCTTAGTTCAATGGTTTAAGATCTAAATATTACCAACAGAGAGAGGGGAAATTCCCTGTAGAGGGAATTCAAACCTATTAATAATCATTTAGGCTGGCTTTGTGCATCTTCTGCAGGTAGCCCGCGATTCCCAGGGCTGCCCGGGCAGCGACCGCTCGGGATGCTGGCAGGGCTGTGTGAGATGGAGGGGATGGGGCACGGCCAGGGTGGCATTGCAGTCCCTCTGGGGATGGACATTCCAGGGTGATCAAAGAATAGCGTCTGCCTTGCTTGTCTGAGAGCTCAGAAGGGTTGACCAAAGCTTGGATATGCGAAGGGAAGTGATGGAGCAAGCAAAGTGAATTGCTGAGCTAAGCAACACAGTCGTATGTCGTTCCTCTAAATCCTTGTCCATCTGGGCTTAACCCCGCCAGCTTGCTTACGCATGGCAGCTCTCTGCCAAGCAGGGCCGTGGCTCTGGGGAGCACATTCCCATCTCAGGTTCTTCCCATTGAGGGGAGATAGCCCTGCTGGTAAGCACTTACACAGCGCCCCACAACTTCAGCAGCCCCACCACTTAGGGATGTGCCTGCAGTTCTCTGAGCATTCCGGGACAGCGGGTGATAGCATCCAGCTCCCTTTGGCCATGTCACATCAATGATTTGAGCTCGCATCCTGTGCTGGGATAGATGATTTATTTGGCTTGTGAACCACGTTGATCTTTGCTACTTGCACCTGTGGCTGGACCTGTTGTACTGCTGATAAATCAACACTGCTGTGCGTGTCTGCTGGGACCGATCAGCCCTTCTCTTTCCTCCAGATCTATCTGCACTTCCTTTCTTATATTTAATCCTCCCATCGCATCCCTGCAAATCCCACTGGGAGTTAAAGGGAGAGCACTGTGTGCTGGTGATGGAAGTGGCTTCATCCCCTGGTCCCTCTCTGGTTTTCCAGCTGGGAAGTACCAGCATCTCCATCCCTGGGCTGTCCAGCTGGCAATGGTAAGCTTCCCTTCCCTCTAGCCCACTTTCTGGCAATTTCTCCCCATTTCTACTTGGGAGAGAAAAATGAACAAATCTTAGGTGGCCAGTGAGCTCAGGCAGAGCTGTCCCACCTCCCTGCCCACCAGGAGCAGCTGTGGCAGGCAGGGATGCACCAGGGAGCATGTGCTGCTATGGGAAGGTGGCAGCAGAGGATGCGCTGCAGGAGAGCAAAGCTTTAGGGTGCTTGTCCTGCACTGCTTGGCCGTGGCTCGGGCGGGTGTGTGGCCGTGCTGGAGAAGCTGCTGTGATGCTGATGCTGTTTGTCAGCCTCCTGGATTACAACCGCTGGCCCTAAGCCGGCCGGCAGCCTGCAGCAGGGTGCTCCTCATGGGGAGCTTTGTGTCTTCCGCCCTATGCCCTCACCCCTCCTTTTTCATAGACACTTTCAGTGCCTTGCTGTGTTACCACTGTGGGAGCAGAGCTCGGCTGCGCTGCAGAAGCCGTGCTTTGAGGCTGGGAAGGCGAGAGGTTTCCTGCGCACAGCGAGCAGAGGTGGGTTTGCTGAGCCTGCAGGCACAGTGGGGAGCGTGGCAGGCTCAGCTTCAGGAACATGGGCTTCCAGGAGAGCCCATGCAATGAGCTTGGACAAAAATCAAAGAGAAAAGGGTACTGGTAGCAGCTTTTCCTCCTGGGATCCTTTCTGTGCTGCTCCGGCTTAGCATTGGTCGGCACAGCACGGTGTTTCTGGGGCTCGAGGGCTGCATGCGGTGCTCCGGCTGTAGTTTTCAGCTGGTGTCTTTTAAGGTAACCACTGTGGTTTTAAGAGGCACCTGAGCAGCTTCTGAAATCAGGTTAAAAGGAAGTTTGACTCCCGCTGCCACTTCGCCAGCTCTTCTGGAGGTTATTTTTTTCTGTTTTATTATCACGTTCGCATTTTGTTTCTCAAAAAATACAACAAAATTGCTGGTTTCTGGGACTTCTGTTCTCAGACCAAACCCTGTGGCTGTGGGAGCTGCCTGTCCCCTGCTCCCAAACGCATCTGCCTGCCTGCTGACAAGCACTGATGGATGGATGCACAGCCCCAGCCACTGTCACCCGCCGTGGTGATGCCCCATCCACTGGCTGTCACTTCCCTGCCGGTAGCCATGGGAACACGGCAGCTCCAGTGCTTGCGTTGCCCTCCTGATAAGGGAATGTGGTTCATGGGGAATGGGGTGCTGCGTTCAGGATGTGATGCTTGGAGGCGTGTTCCCAGCTCTCCCCGGTTTGTCAGGGAGGATGGATTTTCCCTTAATGCATACACAGCGCTTTTTGGCTTTTTTTCCTTTATTCTGCTGTTCTCAGAGGTGTGGAAAGAGGGGTGCAGCACGGGTGTGGAGCAGACCTTGCTGCAGGTAAGGGCAGGAATGACAGGATTACCCTGCAAAGTCGCAGCCTGTAACCCACTCAGATGGATTATAGGTTGGTTACTCCTCAGATGGCCACATTTAATCCCATTATTGTCTGGATTATATTTGTCCGGCCTCTCCACGCTTGTGCAGCCCTGCACAGCTATGCTCCCAGCCCAGACCTTTGGGGAAGGGCTCCCAGGGGAGCTATGAATAGTCCCAGCACCCTGCGAGGTGTGAAAGCAAGGGGCTGGGCTGCCCTTTCGGGCTGTCTCTGGGCAGGGTTGAGCCATGCCAAGGGCAGGGGCGAGGGACACATCCCTTCTCTATGTCTGCCACTGCGGCCGGGATGCCAGAGCTCTATTTTTATCTCTCTCCCAATCCCCTGTAATGCTTTGATTGCACAAACTCCTTCTCACAGCACCCCGGGGGCTGTGTGTAGAGAGCTCTGCCCAGCCAGTAGCGGGCTGGTGCCCCAGGAGGACCTACTCACCAGCAAGTGGCGTCTGCTCTTTTTTCTCCCTTTTTCAAGTTGGCCTTTCACAGAGAAAAGAAAAACAATCCCAAGGTCCTTCTGGCTCCATGTGGACGCTCCTGCTGGCCTTGGCTTTTCCCTCAGAAGAAGGCTTTGTCTCACTGACCTTGGCTGGCCTCCTGCCCACAGCCCTCCCCTGCCACCAGCCGTGTCCCACGAGTGCATTGTGCCGGAGGGCGGCGCGGCTCAGGGACGTTGTGCCCCGACAGACCTTCATCACAGCACGAATGTGTGAGCTCTGCCCCGATGCTGCTCGTGGTGAATACGTTTGCAAAGCCTTGGAGCCCGTGCAAAATAAAAGGGTGTGGGCCACATGCTCGCAACAGGGAAGGGAGGAGCAGGGCTGCTTGTTGGAAGGGCTTTGCCGGCTCACAGAGCCCTGCGGGCCCGTGGGGGGCCATGAACGCTCCTACCCCCGCTGGGCACCCAGGGCATGCAGCACACATGCATCCTGCCCTGGCACGCTGGCCACAGGCCCCAGCATGCCGGCAACTCAGTGAGAGAGCACTTGTAGAAAGCCAAGCCACGCTGTGCCCGAGCTCACCTCCCCTCTCTTACAGGGCTGCACGTGGAGCTGCTGGAGCGAGGCACCCCAGGGAGCCGCCATGCCTGCATGTCTGCCCAGACCCACACCGAGGCCTCCCGCTGCCCCCTCGCCCCATTGAGGCCATGGGATTTCGGCTGTGGACGGGGACTCTCAGCACGTTTGCCATGGTGACATGAAGCGGACGGCGAGGGACGCTGGACTGCTGGAGGGGAGAAACCCTGTGTGCGCACAGGCGCCCTGCTAGTATTTTAATTTATTATCAGTATAATTCCAGTTTGTTTTCCCTTTTGTTTTTTTGCGGTGGTGTTCGTTTCTTCCCCTCCCCTGGGGCTCGAAAGGGCAGGGGAGGGGGCCCCAACTTGCCTGTGGATGCAAGGATGACTGTGCTGGCAAAGGCCCGGAGGGGTATCCGACAGGTATCTCCCCAGGTCGTGCTGCTCCTGCTCTTCGCATTCTGCCTGCTCAGTGTTTTTGTCTCAGCATATTATTTATATGGGTGGAAAAGAGGCTTGGAGCCCTCGGGGGATGTGCCAGGGCCAGACTGTGATGAACCCAAGGTTGCCCCTTCCCGCTTGCTCCCACTGAAGGCCCTCAAAGTGGCCGATTCCTCCCGCACAGACCCATTGGTGCTGGTGTTTGTGGAGAGCCTCTACTCCCAGCTGGGTCAGGAGATTGTGGCCATTCTGGAGTCAAGCCGCTTCAAGTACAGGACAGAGATTGCCCCTGGAAAGGGGGACATGCCCACATTGACTGACAAAGACCGGGGACGCTTTGCACTCATCATTTATGAGAACATCCTCAAGTACGTCAACCTGGACGCCTGGAATCGGGAGCTGCTGGACAAGTACTGCGTGGAGTACGGCGTGGGCATCATTGGCTTCTTCAAGGTATGGGGGTGTGTGGGATGAGCTGAGCCTACGTGGTAGGGGCTGAGGTTGAGTGGAGCCCGTGTGGCCACAGGTGTTGATGTCGGGAGGAGTTTGGCCCAGGGCTGTCCTTCTGCAGGTTCTCCTTGACTGTCTTGTCCTGTTAAGAGTGCTGTGGGGGGAGAGCAGGGAATGGAAATGCAGATTTGCAGGTGGCTGCAGGTGAGGGTATCCCACATTTGGGCAACAAATAGGAGAGGGACCCCAGTGTCTGGACTGCAGAGTGAGGGCTGTAGCCTGGGGCGGGCTGGAGCTGTTTGTGAATGGGTGGTAGGCTGCTCCTCTCCCCCAATCCCCCAACCAAGCTTCTGTCTTGTCTCATTTAACACTTTTCTTTCCTCACAGGCCAATGAGAACAGCCTGCTGAGCGCACAGCTGAAGGGCTTCCCCCTCTTCCTCCACTCCAACCTGGCGCTGAAGGACTGCAGCATCAACCCCAAGTCACCCCTCCTGTACATCACCAGGCCCAGTGAGGTGGAGAAGGGTGTGCTCCCCGGTGAGGACTGGACCGTTTTCCAGTCCAACCACTCCACCTACGAGCCCGTCCTGCTGGCCAAGACCAAGTCAGCCGAGTCAATCCCACATATGAGCGTGGATGCAGCGCTGCACACCACAGTGATGCAGGACCTGGGCCTCCACGATGGCATCCAGAGGGTGCTTTTTGGCAACAACCTCAACTTCTGGCTGCACAAGCTGGTCTTTGTGGATGCCGTCTCCTTCCTGACAGGGAAAAGGCTCTCCCTGCCCCTTGATCGTTACATCCTGGTGGACATTGATGATATATTTGTGGGCAAGGAGGGCACTCGCATGAAGGTGGAAGATGTCAAGGTGCTGTTGTTAGAGTCTGGCTGGATGGGCAGGGGGTACCTGGGACTAGGGTGAGGGATGGGATGTTTTTTACTGTAGGGGTGAGTTTCCTTGTCCTTAGAGCATTCTCCTTATGGGAGTCTCTTCTCCAGAGAGCTTAGGCGTGGGTTCTTGCCTTAATATGGGCTTTGCTAGAGGCCTGGTTATGAAGCTGTCCCTTGCTGCCGCTGACTGAGGATATTTTTCTTTCTCTTTCCCTCTCTCAGGCACTGTTTGACACACAGAACGAGCTGCGCACCCACATCCCAAATTTCACTTTCAACCTGGGATACTCAGGGAAATTCTTCCACACAGGTGAGGAGAGTAAGGGCATCACTTCATGCATCAGTGCATTACTGATGTCAGGGCTGCAGGAGTCCCTGGGCCAGGCTATGCTGCACAGCAGTCTGCCTAGCTAGCAGAGGTGAGGTGTTCATGGGGCAAATCACTTCCAGGAGCTTTCCCACTGCCCCCAGGAGAGCTCCTTGGAGCTGGCACCCCATGCTAGGACCTTGTATCTGTCCTCTTACCTCTGTATGGAACGCTCATTCATCCTAGGGACACCCTATGCAGCTCTGCATACACTGCAGTGACAAACAAGTGTTGTCCCTGCAGGTACTGACGCCGAGGATGAAGGTGACGATCTGCTGCTGTCCTATGTGAGGGAGTTCTGGTGGTTCCCACACATGTGGAGCCACATGCAGCCTCACCTCTTCCACAACCAGTCGGTTCTTGCTGAGCAGATGACCTTAAACAAGAAATTCGCTGTCGTGAGTAAGATGCCGCCGGTGGGGATGCTTTTAATGGGGGGAGGATGGGATGAGGGGGTACGAATAGGCCTTTGTAGGCTGAGAAATCAAAGAGAATGGGTTTGGCCTCCTGTGGTCACTAGGCTGATCTCTGAACTCCTTGGACAGAGCTTTAATTCCCAGGATGACAGTCTCTGCTTGCTGGAGCAAAGGGAGCTGATGACAATGAGCCTTAGGAACCCCCTGTGCCTGGGTGTAAATTTGGGATGAGGATCTTCTGAAGCTCAGCACCCTGCCTTTGTAACTCAGCGGTTAAATCCATTTGTACACTAATGCTCGGAGCAAAAATACTTATCCACACCAGCCAACGTGCCTCTGTCACAATGAGCTGCCCAAGTGCCTGCTGACTGGGAAATGCTGTCCGTGTGTTGTTCCACTCCAGCTGTGTGGCTGCAGCTGTGCCAGTGCTGTTGCCTGCTCTGAGGCAGCATTCATGGGAATGCAGAGATCAAACCCACAGCACTACAGAAGGCAGCAATCGCTTGGGTTTGTGTGCTGGATTTTAACCAAGCCTGAGGTTTATGTTTAGCACGCTGTGGTTTGGTGTTGCACTGAAGCTGGCCCATGTGGCATCCTGGAGTGGGGTCAGAGCGGCTGTGCCTGCAAGGATCTCACTGCTAGAAACTCCCTCTGCAGGCTGAGTTGTCGAGGGACTCATTTTCTTTGTAAGGGCGAGCTCTGACCTTTGGCTTGGTTGGAGATTGTCCATCCTCCTGGAAAGTCCTTTATCTGGCCTACAGAAAGTCAGCATTGACACCAACTCGTGCTGTGATCAACTGATTTGCTCACAGTTGTCTCAAATCCAAATCTATTGAAAGTCAGGCCTAGCAGTAATAATTTGATCTGGTAGTCTGAGAGATGGCTCTTCATCTAATTTGAATTCATTCCCTGTTAATTAATTACGGCGTGAGACTAGAACATTTCTGCTTGTGCTAGAAGAGATGGGCAGGTATTCAGCTGAAAATTTCCAAGTTGCTTTGTATCTACTGATATAAATCAATTTGCAGTCCCATATAGTTTTCTCTGCACAATCTTCACCAATAAGCTTTGCTGCTGCTGACTTCTTTGTGAAAGCAGAAACGACTCCAAAAGGAGCAAGTGTCCACCCAACAAATCTTCTGTTGAACTCCTTTTTCTGGAGGCAGCCTTGCTTAGGGGAAGATGCATGAGAACAGCCCAGCTCTTATTGCTCATCAAGACACAGGTGGACTGTTCATGGTTGGGAAGGGACAATCGTTGGGGGAGACTGTGTTGAGCTGGCAGTTCTGGGTTCTCCCTAGTCACCCAATCTCCAATCTCTTTCCTGTAGGAGCATGGCATCCCCACTGACATGGGGTATGCAGTGGCCCCCCACCACTCCGGTGTCTACCCTGTCCACGTGCAGTTGTATGAAGCTTGGAAGCAGGTTTGGTCAATCAAAGTCACGAGCACAGAAGAATACCCCCACCTGAAACCTGCTCGCTATCGCCGCGGCTTCATCCACAACGGCATCATGGTAGGTGACCAGCTGTTATCTCTGATGCTTTTTCTTCTCTGCCTCCTCCACCAAAACTTTGATTTGTGGTTTCTGGATGGCTTGGCTATTTTGGCTTCAGCCAAAGGAGACTGTTGATTTGATAGGATTGCATTCTCTTCATGTTTGCTAGTCCTGCACAGTAGAACTTTAATGAGGACACTTTGTGGCCTCCCCATCTGTTCATCTACATCCCTTGAGAGTAGCAGAATTCAAGTCAGGGGGTAGTGGAGCTGATCTCCTGACTTTTGAGAAGTTGAGAACCTTTTTTGAACCTGGGAGAAGGGGCTGTGTGGCTTTTTCATTGCCCTGGCTCCTCCACCTGCTCCAGACCTATCTTTCTTCCTCCCCAGGTCCTCCCCCGACAAACCTGTGGCCTCTTCACACACACCATCTTCTACAATGAATACCCTGGTGGCTCCAGTGAGCTGGACAAGATCATCAATGGAGGCGAACTGTTCCTGACGGTGCTCCTTAACCCTGTGAGTACTGCTGCCTGGGGACACATGGATGGCACCTCCTGCAGAGCCGTCCCCTGCTGCTGCTGCAGGCAGCATCCCCAGGGCACTCAGCTGGAGCAGAGGGCTGTGAGTGCAGGATGGCGGCTGGGTGAGGTCCTGCTAACCCCTGCTCCATCCTCTACCTCAGATCAGCATCTTCATGACCCATTTGTCCAATTATGGCAATGACCGCCTGGGTTTGTACACCTTCAAACACCTCGTCCGCTTCCTCAACTCCTGGACCAACCTGAAGCTGCAGACGTTGCCACCTGTGCAGCTGGCACAGAAATACTTCCAGATCTTCTCCGAGGAGAAGGACCCTCTGTGGCAGGTATGCCTTGTGCAGAAGGAATGGAGAGAGCAGCCCCATTTTCTGTCTATGCTGGGGAGAGGGAAATGAGATAAAGGCAGCCTTGCTCTAAGCAGGCTTTACGACCTCTCCAGGTCCTTTCCAACCTAAATGTTCCTGCTATCCTGTGGAAAAGCAGTGATTTTTTGCCTCTTTATGGTTCCGCGGGTGGTGCTAGGACAGAATTTGCTTCAAGGACCTGGAAATAAACCCAGACCTTTGCATGGCCACCCTGCAGGGAAACTGAGCAGCCACACAGCTTCCTTCCCAGGCTGCCTTGTCTCCAACCGTCCTGCTCTGCATTTCAGGATCCCTGTGAAGACAAGCGTCACAAAGACATTTGGTCCAAAGAAAAGACTTGTGACCGATTCCCAAAGCTCCTCATCATTGGGCCTCAAAAAACAGGTACATCCCTTCACCCTCAGGGCTGTGAGCATGGCAAGAGGCTTGCTGGGTTCCCCACATCCTCAAGGAGCCTCTCTCATGCAAAGCAGGAAGGGAAATTAGTCCTGTCAGCTCTCATTTTCTCTGTCTGAAGGAACAACTGCCCTTTATCTCTTCTTGGGGATGCACCCGGACCTGAGCAGCAACTACCCCAGCTCAGAGACCTTTGAGGAGATACAGTTCTTCAATGGACACAACTATCACAAGGGCATAGACTGGTAGGTCAGCCTGCATCTCCCTGTCACGAGGACAGACTGGGAGCACCAATTTCTTGGGGAGCGGGAGCAAGGCTGCCTTGAGGCTGTCAGTCTCATGTCTAAGGAGCTGGGGACCACTGCACGCTCTGCTCCATGCAGGGTCACGCTCATGACAACAGCAGCTCTGTCTGATGGCCAGAGTTTGTCTTTCTGTGAGCACCTGCAGTGCTTGGTACAAAGTGTCAGGAGACTGCTACCTGCAAAGAAGGTTGCTGGGGATATGTTACGATACCTGTCCGCTTACCTCACGCTGTGCCTTTCCTCAGGTACATGGAGTTTTTCCCCATCCCCTCCAACACCACCTCTGACTTCTACTTTGAAAAAAGTGCCAACTACTTTGACTCAGAAGTGGCTCCCCGGCGAGCCGCAGCCCTGCTCTCTAAGGCCAAAGTCATCACAATCCTCATTAACCCTGCAGATCGAGCCTACTCCTGGTATCAGGTGAGCCACCCAACCCTCCTCTTGCCCAGTTCCCTGTTGGGTCAGGGGCAACTTCGATCTCTTGGGAGGCTGCAGTGCTTCGCAGGCAACCTGGGGTTCGGGTCCAGTTGGCGTCCATTCTTGGCTGCCTCAGGAACCTGTTTTGCTCATGTTTGACAGCATCAGCGAGCCCACGACGACCCAATCGCCCTGAAGTACACCTTCCATGAGGTGATCACAGCTGGGCCTGAGGCTGCTGCAAAGCTGCGGACCCTGCAGAACCGCTGCCTGGTGCCAGGCTGGTATGCCACCCACATCGAGCGCTGGCTGAACAGCTACCATGCCAACCAGGTAGGGAGGGCAGCCCTGACGCCTCGCTCTCCTAAACATCAGTGCAGCACCAGAGCAGGACAAAAATAGCAGGCCAAGCTGCCCCTGGCTTCAAGCTGTCCATAAGGGAAATTGGGGTTAGATCTCAGCCCTGCTGTGACCTGCGTGGAGGGGGAGAGCGTGCTGCTGCCAGGGTATGGGCTACGTTGGGCGATTCTGCTCAGCTGAATGATTTTTCCATCATCACTCAACCTTATAAAGTCTATTAATTGTGTACTTCTGGCGTAATTGCTGTAATATAATCCTGACTCTCTGTGGGTTAGACAGCCCTGAGCTAAAGCTCTGATTTTGTCCTGGATAAATCCTGGCTCTGACTTCAACTTGCATTCAATTTTCCAACACCTAATGTAAGTGAACACCTGGGCACATGTTCACTGTTGGCATTAGAAAGGGAACCCTCCACAAGCTCATGGCAAATTTAGCTCTGAGATGGCAAAATATGCAGAGAAGGTGTTGTTTTGCCCCAGGAGAGCAGGGCTGAGAGCCAGCAGGAGGTGAGAGCTCACAGCCCTGCCTTCCTTCTTGCAGATCCTCGTCCTGGACGGCAAGCTGCTCCGAACAGAACCTGCCAAAGTGATGGAAACAGTCCAGAAATTCCTAGGTGTGACCAACTTCATCGATTACCACAAGACCCTGGCGTAAGTCCCACCTTGAGCTTTCCTTACTCCTCAGCCTGGAAAGCACCTGCTGTGTTCCAGAGGGCAGAGATCAGGGTTGCTCCCTTTTACTTCAGGGGAAACTCAGGAGCACAAAGCTTTCCAGGGCAGCACCCTAAGATCTGCTTTTGGTGCTTACTGTGTGGCACCTTCACAGGAGCATTTCAGACAATAAAGCCCACCATAGGAAGCAGAAGCCTTCAGAGCTCCTAAAAGAATTTAGTTTACTTCTGTGCCTGTCTTGCCTTTGTGTTTGGTCACTCTAAATTTGGGCCCAGGTGATGAGGAGCTCCTGAGAAAATTTAAAGCTGGAGGTGCCAGAGAAGGTAATAATGAAAGCCCACACAGCCTCCCATGCTTTCTCATGCAGGGTAGTGTAAGTAATAAATAAATGAATTCTGTCAGGCTGCTTATGGTGTAGCTGTGTGGTAAACCTGTTGTGCAGGTTGGTCAATAATGAGATGTTAGCTGGGCTGCAAATTAAAAATAGGCTCCAGAGCAGCACTTCTGCAGCAACACTTGTCTGCCAGCCAGCTTGTATATCCCAGGGAAGTGCATTGCTGTTGATCAAGGCTGGGGCAGGGTGCCCTGGGTTGGCAGGCAGGGTGAGGCAGAGCTGTCTCTTTGCAGGTTTGACCCAAAGAAAGGATTCTGGTGTCAGCTTCTAGAAGGAGGCAAAACCAAATGCTTGGGGAAGAGCAAAGGGAGGAAGTACCCTGAGATGGATTCAGATGTGAGTATGCAGAAAGCCTCAGCGGGGCGTCTTGATATGGTGTCCTAGACACAGAATGGGGCTGTAGCAAAGGAAGGCTAAGGTTGGATCTGGAAGCAGCATTGTAATGGATGGAATATACCATAGGATGGAAAGTACTGTGACAATAGTAGGGTGGCAGAGTCTTTAGTTACAGCAAACAAGAACGAGCCCAGAGGCAGCAGCTACAGAAATAAAGGGAAGAAAAAGCTGCTTACCTTTGGAAGGCCTCAGATAGGCAGAGATCTCCAACAAGAAATGCCCTTGCCTCCACTGCCAGCCCTTAAATGAGGTGTGGGGAGGGGTGGGTGGATCCTGGCTCCATCCCTCCTGGTCACTCAGGTGCACCGCATACACCTGAGCTCCCCTGGATTGGGCCTGCCTTCCCACCAGGTGCTCAATCACTGTTTCGGGCAGTGACTTAGCATTCCTACCACAAGCAGTCTGTCCCGTTAACCCTTATCTCCCTTCTCCCGTTGCAGTCACGGGCCTTCCTGCGGGACTATTACAGGGACCATAACATCGAGCTCTCCAAGCTGCTGTACAAAATGGGGCAGACGCTGCCCACCTGGCTGCGGGAAGAGCTGCAGAGCACCAGGTAGCTGTCGCCCTGCGATCACATCCCTAAGCAATATCCAGCTGCAGCCTTCGAGGGGATGCTGGAGCCCTCGAGCAGGATGGCTGTGTTGAAGGCTGCTGGGTGCTGGCCTGACTCTGTGGTCCCAGCGCTGTGACCTCTCCGTCTGCCCCACATCCATTCTGTTTTGTTTTTATCTTTTTAATTCCCAAACCTGATGGTGAGGTCCTTTCCTGCCCCGCTTTGATGGAAGAAACAGGGAATTGGCACAAATTCCCTCTTTCTCTGCTCAAAACAGACCCTAAGTCCCCTGGGCTGTGAGCAGCGTTGGAGCCGTTCTGCACCTCCACAGCTGGTGACAGAGGAGCAGCTTTGGGTGCACTGGAGGTGACTTGTGCAGAGCTGTAGCAGAAGAAAGGAGCTGGTGGAGAGACAGTGCACCAAGTGACCCAGACCTCGTCCTGCTACCCAGTGCAGCAGCAGGAAGTGGGGGTTTGCTGGATTCCTCTAAAGCCCAGCTCTAAAAACACCTGAAAAGAAAAAGGTGTCTTCTTGTTTCAGAGACACGGATGCTATTTCTTTGCTCATCTTCATTCATTTTCAATCTGAACCTCTTCCCAGTCCATGGGTGATGCGGTGGGACCGCTGTCAAGTAGGAGAAGGGGATGGGGGTTCTCCCAGACCCTCACCTGCTCTGCAATGTTTTACAATCGTGGTGTTTCCTGTGGTAAAGCCCAGAGGTGCCTGGTGGCCTCTGGCACGCACCCAACACAGCTCACAGGAGCGTGGGCCCTCGGGGAGACGAGGCAGACTTTGGGCTAACGGCAGTTGGAAGGATGCTGAGAACTTCAAACCTCTTGAATATTAAAAGCTAAAGTATTTTAATAATGTTGGGGCGTGGGGGGAGGGTTCGTTTCGTTCTGATTTTGCAGGGGGTTGTTTGTTTTTTTTTCTTCAGTGCCAGAATTTGTACCTAAACCCTGAGGGTTTTACGTGGTCTGTTTGGCTGTTACATGGGAGGTGGACAAAGGTCAGCGGGGAAATAATGGGAGTCTTCCCCACTGCAGATGTGTCTTTATACTTGTCATGGTGATGTGCAGGAGCTGCCTCCTTTCATGTGGGCTTTGCAAGTTTTCTCCCATCCCTGGCTCTGGCTGCCCTGGTGGTGAGTGCACGAGTGTGAGTGCATGTATGAATGTGTGTATGAGTGTGTGAGCCTCCATGTATGTAGCAGTGCCAACACTGAGCCGTCATGGGTTTATGTGGTAAGGGCCCAGGTTTCCTTGTGGATGAAGCTGCTGGTGTGTGTGTGCTGGAGGCTGGAGAAAGGCCGAGCCCTGGTGGTACGTAGGGATGGGTGGGGGCACTTTGTGAAGGGCACCCCGCTACCATTTGTGCCACCAAGGCGTCTGCAGCACTGCTGGGGAGCGGCCGGAGGTGGCCTGATGGTACGGTGTGGGGAGGTGGGGTGAGGACAAATGCTTTCTCCAGCCTGGGGAACGTTTGGCCTCTTTGTGTTTTATTCTTGGAGAAAGGGAGCTGGGGTCCCCCTGGCTGCCCTCCTGCGGCGCCCTGGCAGTGCCTGCACATGGAGCAATGCCAGGGCAGTGCAGGGGAAGAGTGGCAGTGATGAGGGGCTCTGCCCCACCATTCCATCTGGTTCTGGATGGCGGTGATGCTTCCCAGCCTTTGGGTTTTGCATGAACCTCTGTAGCCATGCCTGGGGCCACAGGGGTGGGGTCTGTGCCCTTCCCCTCTGCCCCCCTTGGCTCCGTCCGAGCCCATCTCTGGGGCTGTGTTCAGAGTGTCCCGGTCACTAATGTAAGGTCCTGTTAACTAACTGCTAATAAAATGGGGTTCGCTGGTTTTAGCTGCTGTGCTTTTGCCTTTTCTCCTGCTCTTCTCCCTGGAGCAGCTGTGCAGGGTACTGCACGCCCACTCACTGCTGTTGTGCCCAAGATGTAGGACTGCTGTGTTGGGGTCTCCTTTTGGAGGCTGTCACCTGTGCCATATGGGTGCACACAGGATGCCATGGTGTGCGTGCAGGGACTGCCGGCACATGACCCACGTGTGCCCAACCAGGCTGTCCTGTACCTCCATGTGTGCCAGCATCCCCCTGGGTGCTCCCATCCCCGTGGCACAGTGGCTCGCAGCATTTGGGGTGGGTTTGGGGATGATGGAGGTGGCGTGGGAGCAGCCCCACAGCTCAGCTCCATGCACGAGGTGGCAGCAGCCATCCAGCACTGGATCTGACCATGCTGTACAGCGGCTGCATATGGCCCCTGCAGCCCCGTGGGCCTCAAAACCCTCCTGGCTGCTGCCTTCCCCCTCCCTCTCGGCCTCTGCACAGCGCTGGAGGAAACGAAGCTGAGGCTTAATGAATCCCAGCCGGGCAGCGGCGGGCTCTGTTCAAACCTGTCCTAGTGACAAACGATGTGCGGGGCTGCTGGGGGGAGGCTGCCTGCAGTGCAGCTGCCCACAGGGATAGGGGGTTTTGTTTAGGGCTCTGCTGCAGCAAATCTCAAATGTGCACCTTGTCCCCGATCCCTGGGGTTTGCTTCCCTGTGTCCCCCAAAAATGCACGTGTGTGGGAGAAGGGGGATCCTGTGGTGACGTGAAGCCCCTGTTCCCATCCAACCCAGGACTGTGCACCTCCCCCCCCCCTCCCCCTGCCCAGTCAGCTGCCACAGGTGGTACCAGCTGCTGCTTAGTGTTCATTGCTTAATTAACAGGATCAGGTGGGATGGGGACTCGGACTCTGCGCTGAGAGAGTAAAGGGATGTGTGCCTATGTGCCTCACGCAGCCCTGCGGTGCAGGCAGGAGGAAGGCTCCCACTGCCCCGTCCCCTTGCCCCAGCCCTTGGCACTGATGATGTTTTCCAGCTCCCGTGTCTGCAGAAAATGTGCAAACGAAGCAAAATCCAGACTGGGAGAGGGCCAGGACCGGAGCGGCTGCGGCCAGCCAGGCACTGGCAGGGACACGGGGAGCCCTGGGCTTGGTGCCTCCCCGAGCACCTCGAGCCCGGTGCATCCATCTCCACATCCCAACACACCCCCACGCCTCAGCACATCCCATGTCCTTCCTGGGCACCGTGTGACGCTCTGCATCCCAGGGCCAGGACTAATGCTGGTGGTGCCAGTCCTGTGCAATGGCACACAGAGCATCCCGGTGCCAAGGACCAGCTCCTGTTTGGCCACAAGCTCAGCACTGTGGGCTCGGGGCTCGCTCACACCCCATAAATAATAGAAGGCACAGAACACAGAGCAGCCCCGGGAGAAAGGCATCCCAGCACCATATGGCAGCAGGCGAAATCCAGATGATGCAAATATTTCACACTGCAGCAGGATGGCGAAGGCTCCTACAGCGATAGGACGCACATGGGGCATTGCACTGGGGGCAGCCCCATCCCAAAGCCTGCTTGCACCCAACCGTGCCTGGTGCTGGGAGCAGAACGTGTCCCGTCTGCTGTCCCAAGGACCTGCACTGGAGCCGTGTTTGTTTTCAAAGAGTAATTAAAGAAGAGCCTCTCCTTGAACGAGGGCCATGCAAAATATTTCTCCTGCCGTCTCGTGATTCGCAGTGACGTATTTACATTTTCTGATAAAATAAAGCCGAACTCCGGCATCTGAAAAATGTCAGTGTGTTTTTATTATGAGTACATCCACCCCCGGATTATAAAACCTATAGGAAAACCCTCATCCTGTGAGCATGCACAGGCCTTGCTCGAAAGATGTGTGCTTTGCATTAGGAGTCGTTCACAAATGAATCACATATTTACAGCGCCTCGGACTGTAAATACGAATTGCCCGTGTAAATGTCACAGGCTGAACCAGAAAACCACGCAGGAGTAAAATAGACTTTAAAAAGGCAGATTATAAATGGCAATAAGACGTCCCGACGTGGTTTGCTGTGCAGCCATCCCAGTGTAGAGTGGGGGCTGCAGTGGGCACTGCGTTGCTCAGATCCTATTGCAGCACTGCACCCGCAGCTCCTGGCAGCTACAGCTCCACGGAAAAGGATAAGGGCTGATACGGTTAATAATGCAGAGGGGAGCTGGGAGCATCCCCCTCCCCCCCTCCCGACACCCACAGCTCTTTGCAGAGCGTTGTGGAGCAATAGAGGAGAAAACCCAGCAGGATCCTGGGCTGTGAGGCGGATCCCAGCTGCAGGAGGGCAATGTGAGGCTGTCCCGACAGCGCACATCTGGCTTCAGTTTCCCCATACATACACTGCGGGAGCTCAGCGAGCTGCGGGGCCCCATCCTAATGGGGGGTGGGAGATATCCTCCATCCTCCAGCCCATCTCCAGACACAGCCGGGTCCTGTGACCACCCAGGAGCCCTCACTGCCTCTATCCCTGTGACCCCAGCACAGAGAGGGGGTCCTGGCTCGGTGCAGGTGAGTTGGCCTCTGTGGGATGGCTGTGGGTGCTGGGGAGGGGACACGGGGTGAGACCTCACTCTAGGTGGGGGGTATTCTTTGGGACCACATGCATCCCATTGATAGAGGATGGGGACGGAGCACCCAGCCCCGCACAGCCCCCACCCGCAGACTCAACACGATTCAGATGCTTTGGAATGAGCCGGAATACATATCTTATGGTAAATTACCAGGACTAATAATTATAAAAATCTGTACTTCTGACCCACGGCCAGGGAAGGCTTTCCAAGCAGCTGGTGGCCACATGAGCACCCCTGGCCGGGATGGGGGCCCCTACAACTCCCGGACTTGGGATCTCCCAACAGAGTGGGGGGAGCTCCGAAGCCCCATGGTGTGACCCCTCACCCTGCTCCCCACGGGGCCATGGATAGGCTGGGCAATGCAAGCAGCCCGCCGCACCGACTGCGATCCCCTTCCCCCAACCTTTTCCCCATCTCCTTCACATGGATTCTGAGAAAAATAGGACGGATCTCAGACCCAGCCGACTGCGGCCGATGACTCAGGGAGCAAACAGCATCCACAGCTCGGCACTGCTCCTGCCCTCAGCGTGCCCTGGGTGCTGCAGTGTGAGCTCACGGGGTCCAGTGCTGCTGGAGCTCGGCTCTGTCCAGTGGCACAGGATGCACGCAGCCCCCAAGGCTGGGCTCTGTGCTGCCCCGCTCTCTGCTACCAGCATCCCCTTCCCATCCTGCTTGGCCAAGCACGGCACTTGGCTCGCAGCGATCAACAGGAAGCGGGAGATGGATTTCTCACTCACCTCAGGCTTTGCCATAAACACTCTGCGGGGCCGACGGGAGCAGTGCTGTGCCGGTTATCGCTGCTTTGTGCTCCTACTTCCTCCTGGCGCTGGGGCTGAGCCTGACGCCAACCCCTCGCCCCCCATTATTTCCCATTATTGGCCCCAGACATTGCTATTAATCATCCATCTCACCGTCCGTCCCTCATAGATACGCGTTGTACCCATGGGTCTCCCCAGGCACCTGGAGATGACAGCGGGGCTGCCCCATCCCTGCACCACATTGGCTGTGTTTTGGGGTGCTGAGGTCAGGGGGTCCACCGGCCTCATGGGCACTGTTTGCAGAGCTGAACAAAGAGGCTTTCTTCCACCTCCGGCTCAGAGAAAGCTAGGACTGTCTGGAAATGGGGCTGTGCCGCAGCCCCGGACAACTGTGGGGCTCAGGACAGGACTGGGGACACCGGCACCCTGAACCCTAAGGACCTATGGGTGAGGGGATGCAGGGGGCACACATCCAACCATAGCCATGCCTGGCAGCCCCTCAGCAGGGCCAAATCCTTCCAACAAAAGTCACTTGTGCGAACCAGGGAAACACAGGCGGCTCTGTGCGGCGGCACAGACGTTTCTGGCATGTGCGTCTGTGCATGTTTTGGCACCGAAACGCACATCCTATTTCCACACGCCGGCTGTGCCTGCGTTTCTCTGCAGAGAGGGGGGATGCGGAGATTTGGGACAGGGCCGGAGGGGACGTGGGGCAGTGGTGTAGCACCTCGCACGGGCACAGTGCAGTCCAAGGGGTGGCAGTGCCGAGATAGGGCACGATGGGGGCACAGCTCTGTTAGGAGGGGGGTGGCATGTGGCAGTGCTGTGCGTATGGAGCTCCCACCCAGGACGCCCTTGGGTTGATCCCGCCGGGGCACGGCCCCGTCTCGGCCATTTCCCAGCCCCAGCCCCGCTCTGATTAGAGCTGTTTCACATTCCTCCCAATACCAAAGGGATATTTTATCAGCGAGCATTTTTTTTTTTCCTGCAGACTATTTTCTTTTCATGAAAACATGAAATGGTCTGAGAGATAAGGAGCGAATTTATAGCAGTTCACACCGAAGCAGCCAAGACGCTGGCAAGGAAAAATGCCTTTCCCCACTGCCCGCCTCCTCTGCACGGTCCCCACCCGACAGCTTCCTCCCATTCTCTCCCAATTCTTGCAGCTCTCACAGCCGCCCCACTTCCAGCTTTTCCTGCCCAATGCTGGGATTGCAGTGGGGATGCCCGTCAGGCCCATGCGGGTCCAAGCAGCTTTGGTCCATGGTAGTGCAGCCTGAATCCATCCCATAGCCTTGAGAAGCATCCCCACGCAAAATCTGTCCGCCATTAAAAATGAGTCTGAAAGGAGGTTTGGGGAAATCCTTTGGGGCATTTGGGTTGGTGAGCAGTGAGCACGGTCCCTGGGAGGCACAGCCCCCCCATCCCTACCCCAAAAAAGCCCCCTTGTTTGGCTCCTGCCCGGCACACCGGCCCTGCAGAGTTGTGATGCTGAACTCACCCAAACCTGCCATAAATTTTCCCAGCTGCCCCCAGCCCGCCGGCCCCTTACCGCAGCTTTACGAGCTCTGAAGAGCCATAAAGGCTCTTTACTGGCTGCGTTATTATTTTTTTATTTCAAATTAGTGTGCGCCTGGATCAACACTGCACAAAGTACCAATTTACCACGGGCTGGCGTCCCGTGGGCTGACACCTCCTATAGGGGCAGAGGGAGCGATGCGCCATGCCAGGGTCTGCCAATGTCACTCCGATTTATGGGCAAGGGATTCCATGGAGGGAGATGGAGGGGGAAACAGCACAAGGGCACCCACCAGGGGTGTCTTCCAGCCTTGCTGCTCTTGGGGATGGTTTTGTGCCTGGGGGTGTGAGGTGAGATGGGGCACAAGTCACAGCGCCGCAGGACTGGCTGTCCTCACTGTGTCTCTGAGGCAAGAGGGCAATGGGGGGCTAATAGGGGTCCCACAGCCCCCCTGTTCTCATCCCTCCTTGCAAGTGTGTCTCTAAAACAGGGAGCTGCAATTAAGTCCCCCCCCCAGAAGAAGGGATGTGGGGGACAGGGGCCGCCTCCAGCTGTGCTGCGCTCCCTGCTGCCGCCGGCCCTAGAAGCACATAGGTGGTTAATGCCTTCAGCATGTATGAAATATCCCATATGCCGGGAAACAAAAGGGGCTCTGTGCTATTAAAGTTTCATTTCCCCGCTCCCCTCCTCCCGCCCCTCTCCCCCCTTTTCTCCCTGCCCTCCGCAGCGGCTGGAGCAGAGCAGGAGAAGAGAACTGAGCTGAGCTGCTGGCAGGGACCGGGTATGGGCACAATGGGGACACAGGTATGGGCACGGTGTGCGGAGTGTGGCCAGGGCCCCCGGGTGGGTGGCCACAGGGCTGCAGAGGGGGGGTTGCTTCTCGGAGGGAGAATGGGGATGGTGGGGATGGGGGAAGAGATGAGCGCGGCGAGCCTGGGTGCCTCCGGGCTTTCCCCAAGGGATGGAGGTACCATGGGGTACCAAAGGGTGGGAGGGAAAGAGGCTGGGGGAAGCAGGGAGAGCAGCACTGGGGTGCCTGCAGGCGGCAGAGCCACCCACGGGAGCAGCGGTGTCCCTGTCTCTGTCCCCATCTCCATCCCCATCCCTTTCTCTGTCCCTGTTTTTTGTCCCACTGCCCCCGCCCTTGCCCCCACTCCTGTCCCTATCCCCATCCACAGTCCCCAGGGCTATGCAGGAGCCGTGCAGCATTTGATTGTGTGGCCCCACTGCACCAATCCAGCAGGATCCTGAAGGGGTTAAGAGAGAAAAGCAGAGAAAGAAAACAGAGCACAGGGAGAGCCGGGCTGGGCCAGGGGCTGTCTGAGCTGCTGGGATGTGTCCTCAGCAGCTTCGTTTGGACTGCACAGCAATTTTGCCAGGATGAGGGCTGAGTGCTGAACATGCACTCACACATGTGCTGCTTTATGTCTCACACGTGTGGCCCCGGTCCCCAAATGCTCCCAGATGTGATCCCTGCCACGCACCTCGGTGGCACCTTGGTCTCACCTTGGTGGCACAGCACCCAAAATCTCCACCAAACCTGGTGCTTTTTGCTTCCAAATTGCCCCAAGAATGCCCCTGACAGCTGGGGTGGTGCTGTCCTCACCTCCAGGAAGCGTGGGGGACGAAGGGAGGCTGGGATCTGCCCTCACAGGGTCCCCAGGGAAGCAGTGTATAGGACAGGCTGCCCAGTGCTAAGCAGGTCCTGCCCTGCCTGCAGTCATAGACGAGGTGCTGCGAATGGCAGAATGGTAAGTTCTGATGGCCCTGCTGAGGAGGACAGGGGACAGAGCAACCTGCCCTGGAGCATCCTCCAGCCCTGATGCCCACACATCCCCATGCAGCCCTAGCAGTGTTTGGGGATGCTGCAGTGGGGTTTTGGGGTGGATGGAATGGTGCTGGCAGCTCCCAGCAGCGACGGACCGCAGGGAGCCTGGGGTGGTATTGGGTTGCAGCAGAGGTGACAGCAGCCGGGCACAGGGTGGCCCAGGCACAGCTCCAAGTGACAGCCACACCACAGGGACATCTCCGTATCAGTTGTGGGGGCAGCGTTCCCTTAAAGAAATAGGGTCCAATAGGGTCCTGCAGGGGTTTGCCCTTTGGAGACGCATCCCATCCTGGCCTTCTGCTTCACAGGGTCGGTGCCAAAGGATCCCTGAGAAATGCCCCGTTACAGCATAAAGCAGCAGGTTTGGGGGCTCTTTGCCTCATGGTTCGTGCCAACAGTGCAGGAATGGTGCAGGAGACTCTGTCCGAGGGTCCCCAGTGCCAGGAGCTGCAGTGTTGGAGAGGAGAGGCTGTGCTAAGCTGCCCCCATGGGACATTCAGCTGCTGGCACAGGGAAGGTGCAAAAATCCCCCGATGTATGGGTTGCACTCAGTCTATTTTGGAAAGGGAAGGCGCCGATCTTGTGACCAGAGCTGGGGACTGAAAGTCTGGGCAGCGGGGTCCTGTCTGAGTGACCTGTGTGACCTGGGGAAACCCGAGAGCCTGCACACCACAGCCCCCCTGCTTACCCCCCTGGGCTCGTTGAGAGATGATGGAAACCGAGTGGAGAGTGGCGATGGGGACATGAGGCAGCATCCCTGGACAGGGGAGCCCCACTGGGACGCTGCTTCTGCCCACGTGCCTGCGATGGGATGGGAGTAGGATGGGTTCCCTGTGTCCCCCACATCCTCTTGCAGGGTGTGGGGGGGCTCAGAGCTGGGAGGAGGGCTCTCTGCAGTGCTGGCAGCCTCAGTGCCAGCAGCGCCTGCCAAAAATCTGTGTGTGGGAGGTGGAAAGTTAACTTTAGTTTTCCTTTTTGGATGGGGAGGGGTGGCAGGTTGTGAGGAAGGCAGAGGGGGGTGCATGTCAGACCCCATTGAGTGGGAGGGGAGAGAGCAAGAGGTGTTCCTGCCGCCAGATTTAGTGAACAGAGGGATATTTCCATGTATTTTTCACTCTTCCCTCCCCCGGCACCACTTGCAGCTCATGCCTTTAGGAGCAGCACAGGTTCCTCTTGCAGGGTCTTGCTGCAGGAGGGGCTTCAAAGCCACACTGCGCTCTGAGCAGCTTACCATCTCACAGCCTCTGGGCCCACAGGGCTGGGAGCTGGATGCTCACCTCCCACCTGAGCACCCTTTGCTCCAGCACAGCAGCAGTGATGCACAGTGCCCCACAGAGCTCAGGATGGTCCCTGCGAGCATGTGGGGCTCAGTGTGGGTGGTGGGAGCTGCCCAGCTGGGATCCCTCTGCAAATCCACATTGAATAGTGGCGGGAGGAGGGATTTCAGAAGAGAAAAGTGCAGGATGAGATCCTGAGCTCAACACGTGGTGCTGAGCCATCTCTGCTGGCATCATTGAAGTCCAGGCAATGGGGTTGGCTTTGGGTCGTGCAGAACCCTTCTGGACTCAGCGTGCAGGAATTTCCCCACAGTGCTGAGCCGCATCCTGTGCCGCGTGCTGATCCCTGCTCCCAACCCGTACCTTTCCTCTTGGCTGCAGTGCTGTGTGCTCTCATCACTCAGCAGTATTTCTGCTCGGCAGAACAGAGGGAAGTGACTTTGTCGGCGCTTGTCCCAGAGCTGTGAGTCATGCAATGGTTAAACACGGCCCGGCTTTGTGAGCCGGGTGCAGGATGGAGGTGGGAGCTGGGGCTCCTGCCTTGAGCAAGCATCAGCGTGAGCCAAACACAGCCCTGGGTTGGAGCAGAGGGGTGAGGTGCCCCATCCTTCACCTGGATTGCTCAGTGTTCCCCTTTCCTTTGCACAGGTCCTCTGTTGGGCTGGAAAAGAGAAAAACACGCAGAACTCTCCTTGGTGACATTGCTCTGAAGACACGGAGCGAGGGACTGAGGAGTGAAGACTGTGCCTGCTTCCTCCTCAGATGGAAGGGGACAACTCCAGAGCAGAGCCAGGCCTCAGGCCGTGAGCAGCCAGTTGGATCTTTGGAGTCACTGAGCATTGTCCCTGAGAGTGGAGAAAGGAAGCCAGCAGGATGCTGAAGGCACCGCTGAGACAGGAGAGCGACAGCGGGGACGTCCCGGACCCTGAGCTCCCCACAGGCAGCACAAACACCGAGCCTGCAGCTTCCTCAGATTTCTGTGCCCCCAGTCCTGCCTCACAGCTGCCCCCAACAGCAGCCAGCCTCATGGACGACCCCAGCCAGGAGTGGAGGTTGGTGAAGATCAAGCGCGTCCTCATCGCTCCCTCCAGCGAGCCCAGGAAAGCAAGTAAGGACCCCTTTTCCTCCTGTAAAGCAGCTCAGCGTCATGGGGCTGCAGTATCCCAGCAAACAGTGTGGTTGGGATTCCTCCCATCCAGGGCAGTGGGTGCTGTGCTCTGGGGCTTTTTTTATTTCTGGATGACCTCAGTGCCCTCAAAAATCAGAGGAATCTGTGTCATTCCTGAGGAGGGGTGGAGAGGAGCAGGTGGGTTCCCACAGTCTCCAAGAGCTGAGCAGGGCATAGGGGTACCTTAGGGTTGGAGGCAGATCCTGGGGCACTCTGTGGGATTTGGGCATCTCTCCTCACCCAGAACGTGGCACAGCTGTGCTGCGTATGGGAGATGAGTCCGCATGGATGCTCCTGCTATGTGGCTTTGGGCCATCTCTATTTCAGGCCCCCATTTAGATATTAAGCTCTTTATTTCAGGCTGGTCGCTCCCTGCGATGCTCCCTGACACTGCTTTGCTCCAGAGCCCTGTTTCACAGCCTGCCTTCCATGGGGACCTGAGCGTAGGCACCCAGATGGGGTTACAGCAGCCCCAGGGGGAAATGCTGACTCCCACTCCTCCCTGCAGCCATGGGACCCGTCTTTAAATCCTGCTTCCACTGCTCTATTTCCCCCCCACCAGCTGTTATCTCAGCTGCAATGGCAGGTGTGCCACATCCCCGCTGGGAATGAGCCCTCAGGTGATGTTGTGGAGTAGTTTTCCCAAAGCAGCCCCTTCGCCCTGGGGACTCCAAATGGGCTTTCCCAAACCCATCTATGTTGGGGCAGTGCTCGCCCTCACACCAGCAGCCCCTGGGAAGGAATGACAGTTTGGAGGCGGGAACCTCAGCCAAGCTCTTGGCTCAGTGCGGCCGTGCAGCGTCGCGTTTCATGGCTGCAGAAGGACTCAGAACGTTTCCCATTTCTCCCTCTGTTTGGGATGGTGGATCTGCAGTGGGGAAAGGTCAGGCCCAGCTCTGTCCGGGCTCAGCATTTTCCTATCCTGAGCAGCGATCCAGCAGTTCTGCTGCCAGCCTGGAATTTAAAGTAACTCAACAGGTTTGCTGGAAAGCGTTTGTCTGCCCCGTTTTCTCCTCCCCTTGAGTGAGATCACTGCCATCCGCTGCCTGCGTGACTGTCAGACTTTCCAGAGCCACTGGGCAGGATGACACTGAGGGTCCCAAGCCCTGGCAACAGCCCTACAATAACGCTGTGGGTCAGTGGTGCCAGGCTGGTTCTGGAGCTGGGGTAAAAGCCAAGCAGTAGGGCTACCCTTGCAGTGAGGCATTTGCAAGAGCATCCCCTAGAGGTGTTGGGGATCTGCTCCTTTTCTCCTTATCTGTCGATTTCTGAAGTCGGTGCATTCATCCCTGCCTCGATGCCTGCAGGAATGGTACAGGGAGAGCATCGCCACTGCACCCACCCTGCAGGGTCAGCAGCCCCATCCAGCCCCATCTCCTGGCTGTAATCCGGCCCAGCGGCCCCAACGGGTTGGCACCTCTCAGGGAGCCCCGGGTAGAGGCACCAGCAGTGAGATGCAGGAGGCAGGACTGGTTTCTCTGTCTGGCGTGCAAATAAACAGAAGGTTTCGCTCCCTGGGGGATGCTGAGCTAGCACCAGGCTCCCTCAAAAACCAGAAAAACACAGAAAAGCAAAGAGCAGCAGGAAGAAAGGAAATTAGAAAGGCAAAAAATAAGGCCAGGAGCTCATCCGGGGGTGCAGACAGAGGGGGAGCGCAGCAGCGTTCAGGGCTCTGCGTGCTGCAGATGGGTCCCAGCGCTGTCACCATCGTGCCGGGGGGCTCAGGATCAGCGTGACCCCACTGTGCTCCTGGCGGGAAGGCAGGGAGGTAAGGAGATGCTCGGGGCTGGGTTAGGGGGTGCTGAGAGATGGGTAAAGGGATGCTCGGGCCGCTCTCGCGGTTGCTCAGGTCAGATCCAGCCGGGCTGCGACGAGCAGGGCAGAGCCGTCGGAGCCGCCCTCACTACCGGGATGGTGGCCCCGTCCCGTCGCATCCCGCGCGGTGCGGTGCGATCCGCTGCACCGGGGCGGTACGGGCACCAGCAGCGGCACCCCCAGCGGCCCCGGCCCGCCCGGCCCCCGCCCGCCGCCCCCCCGGGCCCGCTCCGAGGGCGGAGCCGCTGCAACTTTCCTGCCCGCCGCCTCCTCCCCTGGTGCAGTCGAGCGGCGGCGGCACCGGCACCGGCACCGCGGGTAGGAGCGGGGCTCGGGAGGCCCGGGGGAGACGGAGTCGGGAAGCGGGAGGAGAGCGGGGGGCGGCGGGGAGGTCGGCTGGAGGCTGGGCCAGGGAGCGGGGTCATGAGGATGAAGGGATCGGGGCGGGGGGGGTGTTTGAGAGGGATGCGAGGAGCTGGGGCTGCGGGGAGCCGGGGGTGTTCCCTGCTGCAGAGCCGACTGGGGTGCGCTGCGCTGCAGTTGTCTCTATAGAAATGAGTCCCACGCGTGTCCGTGCCTGTGTCCGTGGGTTGGGGTGGATCGCATCTCTCAGCTCTGCATCTCTCCTTTCATGCACTCTCCTCTCCACGGGCAAAGGACACACCAGGGCCACCACTTTGCCCCGGTCCCCTTCTTGCTCTGCCTTGGGCACAAGCAGTACCCGATGATGTTCCCAGTGGTCCCATACCCAACCCCTTCTCCACTTTCCCTCCAGTGGGAGATGGCAGCCCTATGACTTGCTGCCCCACGCTTGTGGGGTGATTTTAGGTAGAAGTGGGGCAAGTTTGGGTGCTGAGGGCCAGGCACAGCCAAGGCACGGCTGGGAGCCAGGAGCAGCACAGGGCAGCGGGGAGAAACCAGCTCCAAATCCAGCAAAGCCCTCATGGACGGAGCTCAGGGAGAACTTGCAAGCGAATCGAATTTTCTCGCTGTGCCAGATTTTGTTGCTGGCAGAGGAGAGGCCCCGTGCTCTGATCCTGCCTGGCAGCACAGGGCTGCTCCACTGCTCAGCTTGGGGATTCTAGGGTCTGTAGGGCCAGCACTGATGGAAACTTCATGGAGCTTTTATACCAGGAGTGCTGGAAGCTGGGAATGAGGCAGAAAATTGTCGTGTTTTAATCTCTGCATGTCAATTGTTCCCAGCCAGCCAGACTGCCTGCCTGCGCTACCCTTCTTGTTTTCCTGGCAGCAGATTATTTGGGATAACTGAGAGCTGGAGGGAAGAGCAGACTGAAATGTGTGCGTTTGTGTGCTCTGCAAAAAGCCCCGCACAGCTGTAGTTCAGGCAGAGGGCCAGCTGGCTTCCCTGCCCCAAACCTGCTCCGTGTCCAAAGCCCTCAGCATTTGGGTGCAAACAGCGGGTTCCCCATCCCCAGCACTGCCTGGGGGCAGCTAGGGGTCTGTGCAAAGGTGGTGGAGTTGAGGTTTGTCATCTTTCTCTTGGCCTTGGATGCCCCTCAGCTCTATAGGGCTGGTGCTGGGCATGGAGTGACATCCTCTGTGATGCACCTGAGCATCCTGTGTGAGCCGGGAGTGGGGCTGGGATGCAATTCCCCCATCTCTACCGGGACATCTCATTGTCACACCCAGACCTGCACAGGGACAGCCCCCACCTCACTGTCTTCTGTCATTGCTGTGTAATCCCACGGATGTGTTTCACCCTTCATCCCTGTGCGAAGAGATCCAGTGTTGGCATGGAGAGCTGAGCTGGAAGGAGGGCTTTTCCCATCTGGCCAGGAAAAGAGGGCTACGAAAATGCCTTTCATCACACTCATCACCCTCACTCTGGAGGAGAGAGCAGAGGGAAGGCTGACAGATTGGGAAGAGGCTGTTAAACATCGAGCTTTGGGGCTGTTGCTGGAAATACAGCAAGTGCCTATGTAGGTCAGTAGGTGTACATAGGTACAGGTCTGTATCTATACGTACAGAGCTACAGGCTGCTCTGGCCAAGGTAAAGTGCACTGCACTGATACGATGCTCAAGGTGCCCATGTGGCTGGTTGCACACACAGGATCCCAGTGATGCTGCACCTCCTTCTGCAGGATCACAGCGCTCAGGGACGTCCCTGCCGTGGGGTCAGAGCGCTGGCGGGGCTGATTCATTGCTCTTGGAAGAGGCTGGGACACTCAGGGGCAGGAGACGTTTCCTTCCCAAACGGCAGCCCGATGGCGAGCAGCGTGGGAAGGAAGGAAGAGCCACTCAGCCCTTGGAGCTGAGCTTTGGCCGGGGCTCCATCAGTGGCCAGAGGCCGGTTCTGTGCAGGACCACTCTGTGAGGTCCCAGTGCTGGTGTGGGGCTCAGCCGGCAGTTAGCCAAAGCCAGGACTTCCCTGGCCAAAGGCCGAGTCATCCCTCCAGCTCCGCGGACACCCCCACAGCCCCCCGGTGGCTATTAAAAGGCAGTAGCAAGAAGGAGAGGCTCCAGAACAGCTCTGCTGAGATCTTTGCTTCATAGGCGGCCCCGGCCTCCAAGGATGCTTGGGTCGGAGCGTGAAATGAGCAGACATCTGGAGCCTGCGGCTTGTTTCCCAACAGCTCCTCAGCCCCGTTTCCCCACTTCTCTACGGTGAGGGCGAGTGGAGGAGCGGGAGCCGCGGGGCTGGCGGCCCTCCAGGCAGCCCGGCCACAGGAAGCCGCTTCCCTGCTCTGTGCCGCCGCCAAAGCAAATAGAAATGTCGCATTCAACAATGCCGGCTGCGGACGGGGAGAGCTGGAACGCCCGCTGCGGATGGGCTCGTCGCTTCCAGGAGGGTTTGCAATGGTATTTCTGCCTTTTTCTCCTCTTGGCACAACTAAATCCCACTGCTAGGCCGCCCTAAAGCTTGGCGCGTCCATCCTTCTCCTCTCCGGTTGGTTCCTCCAGGCCGGCCGAGAGATGAGCGGGTCAAATGGCTGCAAACATCCTGCAGATGTGACTACGAGGGATGGGCGGATGGGATGGAGGGTGATGGGGAGGGGATGCCCAGCTCGCAGCAGCTTTCTCACCCCACCACGAGCTCTCTGCAAGGATTTGGCTTAGTCATTCATCCTTTCCTTCGCTGGTAGGCTGAACCATCGCTTAAAATATCCTGGAAGGCTCCCAAGCAGCACAGAAGGCAAGAAAATGAAAAACACATGAAGGGAAGGGGAGTGGACGCTGCCTGCGCCCAGAGGAGCTGGGATCGGCCACCCACCTCTGTCCGGGTGTGGATGGGGCCCTCGTGGCAGCGTTCCTGGGCACGATGCGTGGACCCCGTCGTGAGGAAGGGCGCTGGGGGCTGTTTGGTGGCACTGCCCTTCCCAGTGGCCATGGGCGTTTCAGGGCACGCTCATAGGAAATGGCTCACCCCGAGAAAATGCGTTCCCGGCAGCTCCACATCCTCTTGGTGTTTGGGAAGGGCTTTGGCCCTGACCTTTTGGCCAGAGCTGGAGGAGCCCGGCGGCTCTCGGAAGACTTTCAGCGCAGTTAGCAGACGCGCGGCCGGCCGCTTTTAGCACTTTCATAGGCTCCGAAGGAATGGGGCTGGCGCGTTGCTGCGGGCTGCGTGTCGGGTCGGGATCCTGCCCAGCTCCTGTCGGCTGCTGCCATCTCGTGTTGCTGCACACGTACTTGCCGGGTTCACACGCACCGGTCCTATGGCAAAGTGATGAGGCCGGGTTCGCTCTCCTGCATTTGTGGAGCTGTGCATCATCACGTGGGGAGAGGGCTGGAGGGACGCATTCCCTGCCCCTGTGTGTGTTTGAGCCGCGGGCTGAAATCCTGTGAGCTGCAACCTGAAACCTCCTGAAGCCTTTTGAGAAATTCCTTTCCAATACGGTCACTGGGATCAGCGCGCAGAGCCCAGGGAGATAAACTGTCCTGCGGAGTGAGACGCAGGGACGCTCCCCTCTGCCCTGCTGGGTGGGAGGAATGGTCCCATCTGCCTCACGGTGGCTGTCTTCTGGGCTTCAGAGGTTACTCCCAGCAGGAACATGTCTATGCAGCATTAGGCAGCGCACCCAGCTGCAACAAGGCTGGGCTGGAGGGGAGGCATCCCTGGGTTCGGTGTGCTGGGGGTACTCCAAGGAGGGGCTGAGCCCTGCTAACCCCCTGCCCCTCTCTCTCCTCACCCAGGTCTCTCCCGCAGCTCCAGCCTCTCTGAGAAGGAGCTGAAAGAGGCAAAAGCGCGGAGCCGCAGGATCGTGGCACAGCTCACCACGGCACCCAGCCCCAGCTCCAAGGGCGTGCTGCTCTTCCACCGCCGCAGGCAGCGCATCGACGGGCTCACTGGGACTGGCACAGGGCATGGCACGGGGCTGCCGCTGAGCCTGGGGACACAGCGAGGGGACATGGAGACGGGCGAGGGGCACGGCAGCCAGGGGACGCTGGGGGAGAAGGAGAACGTGGCATCTCACCGGGAGTCCCCTACTGAGGCTCAGCAAGTCCCATTGAGTATCTACCTGAAGGAGAACATGGCACTGGCTGCTGCCAATGGTGTGCACAAGGAGAAGGTGGAGAGTGAAGTGGGAGGGGTCCAGGGGACACAGGACAGCTTGGGGACAAGAGTAGTCACTCCTGCCCCACCAGAGAGCATGTGCATTCCTAAGCAGAAGAATGGTGAGGTGCCCAGTCCGCCTGTAGTGACAGCCAATGCACCCATGGGGACGGCCAGCACGGCCATGGGGACAGCCGGCACACCTGTGGGGACGGACAGTGTATCCATGGGGACAGCCACCATGCCTGTGGTGACAGCCAACATGACCGTGAGGACAGCCAGCACGCCCATAGGGATGGCTAGTACACCTGTGGTGACAGCTAGTGCACCCATGGTGACAGCCAGTGTACCTACTGGTGTGGCAGTGGCCAACACAGCTGTGGTGACAGCCAGTACGCCCATGGTGTCAGCCAACATAACCACAGGGACACCCAGCGTCCCCATGGTGACAGCCAGTACTCCCACTGGGACAGCCAGCATGCCCATAGGGACAGCCAGCACCCATATAGTGACAACCAGCGTGCCAATGGGGACAGCCAGCACACCCATGGTGGCAGCCAACATACCGATGAAGATGGCCGAGGCAGCCACGGGAATGGCCAATGCACCCATGGGGACAGCAAGTCCACCCGTAGTGACATCCAGTGCACCGGTGGTGACATCCAACATACCCACAGTGACGGCCAGCACACCCCCAGGGATGGCTCCCCCAGCCACACGAGCACAGAGCGGGGCTCAGGGCAGGCAGTACTACGAGGTCCAACTCACCCTGGCCAAACCCAAACCGGTGAAGAACCGCACGGCGCGGCCGTTTGGCACCCAGACAGCCCCTGGGCTGAGCCAGCCTCCGGAGCGAGACCCTGGTGCTGAGCCCCCACCACCCACCTATGCAGAAACGCTGGGCAGCCCACCCCCGCTCAGCAGGGTCCGCTCGCCCCCCACCTACTCGACCCTGTACCCCCCTGAGGAGCAGAAGGCGCTGCCAGGCCCCGGTTATGGGCTGGCGGCGGTGCTCCCCTTGCCCAAAACGGGCATCCTGGAGGAGTCGGCGGCACGTAGGGGCCACAAGAAGTCCATGTTCACCTTTGTTGAGAAGCCCAAGTTGGGCCCCAACCCCGACCTGCTGGATTTGGTGCAGAGCGCAGACATCAGGAAGAAGCAGAAGGAGCATGGGGATCCCGGTGCTGAGGATGAGCCCTTTGCTTTGGGGGCTGAAGCTGCCAACTTTGTCCCCGCCAGCACATCCAGGCCTGTGCAGGCCCTCCCGGTGCCCAATGATGCCCCAGCATGGTCCTCCTGCCTCAAGTCCCCCATGGTGAAGCCGAAGCCGAAGCCGCAGCCCAGCCACAACCTGAGCGAGGCCAGAGGGAAGGGGGCTGAGCTCTTTGCCCGCCGGCAGTCCCGCATGGAGAAGTTCATCATCGAGGCTCCCTCCCGGCCCGAGCTGCCGCGCTCCCCATCGCCCACCATGTCTCTGCCTCCCTCCTGGAAGTACGATGCCAACGCTTGCCTGTCACCCATGGTCTCCAGACACCCCACCAGGAGTCCCTCCCAGCCCTCCAAAACCCCCCCTGCTTCTCTCTACGGCAACAACCCTATGGAGAACGAAGTGGAGCTCTCCAAGCACCAGCCCTACCAGCTCCAGCCTTCGCTCTTCATCCTCTCCCCGTCCAAAGCTCCAGCGAGGTCCATGCCACCACCCAGACCCTCACCTCCCAGCTCTTACTCCTACCCACAGCACACCTCCTGCCCCACCTCCCCGCTGCCTCCGTCCCCCATTTGGCAACCTCCCACCACACACGGGGCCTCTTCCAGCCTTTTCCCCAGCAGCACCGGGGCTGTGCCCATGCCTCACGGTGCCGGAGGCGGTGGTGCAGAGCTGCTGCTGGCATCGCCGTGCCACGGGCGCTCCCCTCGAGCCAAGGGTGGCTTCCAGGCGCCTCGACCCTCCTACTCCACCAGGAACGCAGGGATCGAGCCACAGGTGTGGAAGCCTTCTTTTTACTACAAGTAGAGAGCGAACGCGGGCAGATGTTGGGCTCCCCTCCAGCTGGCCAAACCCTCGAGCATTGCACAGGGGGGGTGGTGCAGAAAGCCAAACTGACCTGTGAAAGGGGGACGAAAAATTGAAAGACAAAATGAAGTAGCGCAGTGGCTGCCAGAGCCCAACCCTAGGGCAGTGCTATGGGGTGAGGACGCGATGCTGAGCCCCAGTGGGGCAATGGGAGCTGTGTGTCTGTGCCGAATGGGGCCGAGTCTGCAAAGCAAAATGCATGGACAGGAGCACGGCTGACCCGCAGCACCTCCGTGGCTTTCTCTCTTCTCTTGCCTGGAAACTTTATGGAGCACTCTGGCTCTGCCTCGATCCTTTTCTCGCCTTCTGCACTTCCAGATCTCCGAACCAAAGCGTGGCCAAGGGGACATTCTGCCCTCCCACCGCACTGTGCCTGCTCCTGTCTCTTCTGCTGCACCTTTGGGATCTGTCTCTATTTGCTGTCACACCACAGAGAGAAGCCTCTTCCCCACCATGCAGGTGGCACTGGGGTTACGCTGTGGTCCCTGTACATCCCAGTGTTCCCTCATCTCCCTCCAGTCCAGAGGGGTGATTTGTTGCTTAGACTGATGCTGCTGTGCTATGCCAGGCTCTCAGCTGCTCCGCCTGATCCAGCCTGGCAGCAGCCAGCTGACAAATGCTGCTGCAGCTGGGCAGCTCAGTGCTGGAATGGGCTGCTAGCAGGGCTGGCATAGCCAGGAGCTGAGGGACTGCATGGGCAGGGCTCAGTGCTGGAGCTTTGGAGGCATCTGCAGGGCCTGACAGCTCAAGCTCTGACCATGGGATGCACCAGCAGACGTGCCCCTTGCCCAGATGCTGGCTTCCTCACATCCTATGGGCACGTGCCAAACCCATCCTGCACAGCAGGAGGATGAGGTTGGGACAGGGAGGTGCCTGGTGGAGACAGGGAGTACCACGGGTTCTTGCTGCTCTCTGCATTAACAAGTTGCCTTTCAACTGTGCTTTTATTTCTCCTGCATTTTTCCCCCTTCCTCTTTCTCAATACACTCACGTGCACTATCAAACCTGTCTTTTCTCTTTCCTGCTGGCTCAGGAGGAGCTGCGGGGCGGCAAAGCTTGGCACCGGGGGCTCTGGTGAATCAGCACATAGTGAGACCCTGGATCATGCATGGAAACAGATGATCTTTAAGGTCCCTTCCAACCCAAGCCATTCTGTGATTCTGTATTTGGGTAAGAGTGATGGACTGTGGCTTGGCCTCCCTCCGTGGCTCAATAATAGCCCCATCTACATGGGCAGTGGCAGCAGCAAAGGGCAGAGGTGTCCCCGCGTGCCCACACCAATGGAACTTTGCTTCTGTCTCAAAAAAAAGCCCCCTGGGAGGGAACATTGGAGTTGCTCCCCTCTCACCATTATTCCCCGTCACCGCTGCTAGGTCTCCAAGCAGTGTCGGGGGACTCTAACGCACTCTCTGTCCCCGCAGGAAAGGCGGCCGTCTCTCCCCGCCTCGCCCACCTGGACCCCGCGGCTGGCGCGGCACCAGGGCAGCCAGGACGGCTGGGCCAGCCCCGTCTCGGTGCCCGAGCTGGAGCAGGGGCCGCCCCGGTCCCCGCCCTGGAGCGAGCGCTCTCTGTCCCCGCAGCGGCAGGACGCCGAGCCCCGCGCCAGCCGCCAGATGCAAGCGCGGCTCGCCAGGAACATCATCAACGCAGCCCGCAGGAAGAGCTCCTCTCCCAAACCCCCGGGGCCGGAAGGCTCCCGGCCCTTCACCCCCCCGGCCGTGGTTCCCCCCGGTTTGCCGCAGGGGTGCAAAGCCGCTGCCCCGCAGCGGGCCCGCAGCGTGCTGGCTGCGCCGGGCAGCCCCTCGCCGTCGCACAAATCGCCCCTCACAGAGGGGTCCTGTGCCTCCCCCGGGGTGTCCCGAGCCACCTGGGCAGAGGGCCGCCGGCTTCTGCTGCCACCCAGTCCGGCCGGGCCGTCCCCCACCCCAAAGAGCCCTTTGCCATCGCCGGTGGTGGGCGCACGCTCCCCTGCCAAGCGCTACAGCTCCCGGTCCCCGACGGACTCGGACGTCTCCATCGACTCCGAAGATTCGGGAACCAAGAGCCCGGGCATCCACAGCTTCAACCTGTGTCCGCGGGGCTGGAGCGGGAGCCTGAGGCTGAAAGCGGGGGGGATACCGTCGGGGGCCCCCTGCACCTCTTAGAGCAGCCCCAGCTACGCACACCGCTTGGGGACGGGGCAGCCCCCGCGGTGCTACCCGTGGGATGGGAGACAACGCCCTCGGTGCTGGTCCCCAGGCACGGAGAGGCTGTGGGCTGGGGGTGCACGGGGTGGCCTCGTCCCTATCAACGTATCTCCGGGGTCAGACACCTCCTGCCTGCCCACAGCCCCGTGGCTCAGAGCTATTTTTACCACCCTAACCTTTCGGGGGCAGGACTGCGTGCTCAGCACTGGGCACAGGGCAGCTGGCAGTGGGACCATCCCTGTGCACAGTGCTGGGGGGGCACAGCCCGGCACCCCACGGCTCAGCTTTTTGGGGGTGGCACAGCACGGTTGGGTCACCCTGCCCAGCCCTGCTTGGCAGCCCGGCTGCTTTCAATTGAAACCAGATTTTGGGGGAGGAGAAGTGAATGTTTTATCCTCCCCACCTCCAAATCTTCCTCGCTTTTATGTTTTTTTTTCTTTTTTCACTTTTGATCCCCTCCTGAAGAATGTCCCCTAAATTCTTCCTTAGTGATAACGAAGATATCCAGAGTTATTTATTGCCATGCCAAGGGGACGATGGACATGTTGCCTCCCACTGCCCAGGCAGAGGGGGCCAACGCCAACCCCTGTCATTGTCCCCATCCCTGTCCCCATGGAGGGACATGGTAGGGACGGAGGGTAGTGCAACGGGGGGAGATGAAGGCATGCAGAAGGCAGAAGTGCAGGTTGCAGAAGGCTGGGAGGAGGTCTGGATGCAAGTGTGAGCATTTAGGGACAGGTCAGTGTCTACATGGGAGCTTCCCTGCAACAGGCTGAGCTCCCTGGAGCACAGCAGCAATGGTAAGTGATGGGTGGTGATGGGGACAGGGGGCAAAGGAATGGGCACGGTTACAGGGCAGAGCCTGGGGAGTGAGGCAGGGAGAGCTAAGGCGGCATCTTCAGGGAACCGGGAGGGTGCAGCCCTGGCACCAGCGAGAGCAGCAAAGGAAAAGGGGGGTGGTACCAGGGCACGGTGCCTCTTAGGGGAGCCCCTGTCCCCCTGTCCCTTCCCCTGGGACACATTGTGGTAGCAAGCATCTTTGTCCCCTGGGTTCTGCAGCCACCGCGCCCCGCCTGCGCCGCGCACATGTATTGCCAGCTCGGAAATAAACTGCCGCTATCCCACCCGCCTGCCTGCCTGCTTCCGACCGTCCCCAGGTGCCTGAGTGCACGCAGTCACCTCCTGCTCACAGCCACCACCCTTGCCTGGGGTCTGTCCCCAAGGCTCAGCCCCGCTCGGTGCTGGGGTGGCACCATCCCTGTCCCGGAGGCTCAGCCCCGCTCCGCCCCTTTCTCAGCCAGAAATAACCGTTGCTCCGCAGCCGGACCTCGGCATCCCGGCCAAAGCCCAGCAAGGGGCGAGCGGCAGAAGCTCAGGGTGCCAGCTGGGGCCACCCAACACTGCTGGCTGAAGCCACACTGTGTCTTTGTACACAGTGCAACCACAGGGCATCCTCAGCCCCTGCTACGACAAGGAATCCTCTGGCCAGGTAGGGGATTGAGGTGCCGCGCTCGGGCCAAGGGACGGGTGGGTGCACAAGGCTTGGGGACAGCCCAGCCTTGGGGTCCTGGTGTGGTCCCCCTAATGGGACGCAGCAGACAGGGCCAGGAAAAGGTTTGCAGAGGAATGAGAGGTTCCCTGTTCCTCCTGCTGCTGCCAGCTGAGGATGGGAAACGTCGGAGCCAGAACTGGCAAAGAACCACGTGCCATGCACCATGCAGCCACAACCTGGGGGGACCTGGAACTGCCCAGGGCTCCTAGGGGAAGGGGACAACCTGAATCCCCACTCACACACAGGCTGGGCTCCTCAGTTCCTCACCCTAAGGGGTCAGAGTTGCAGATCCTGCAGCCAGCAGCTGAAAATAACTCTGCTGAGGCAAAGGGTGGGAACAGCCAGGTCCCACAGTGCTGCTTCCAGTGGGGCTCGGGGGTAAGGAAGCCTTGCTGCAGGCAGTGCTGGGCATATTTCTGCCCTAAAGGAAGACAAAAAGGAAATCAGACACAGGATAACTCCAGGCTTCCCAAAGGGGTTCTGGTTGCGGTGAGAGGGAGGGGTGACAGATGCAAAGATTGGGGTGAGCACACAAAAACGCAGCTCTGCTCACATGTAGGGCATCCCCGGGGCTCTGAGCATTCCTAGTGCTACTGTGGGGAGCAGCTTCCCATGCCCAGCCATCACCCAGGGCCATCTTTCTCTTGCAGTCGTCCTCATCCCACAGCTCTGCCCCAGGAGCGTGGCAGCAGGCGATGACCATCATGAAACCAGATCCTGGAGATGGTAAGCAGAGGGCACACACTGCCAAGCCCCGATAGCAACCCCCATCCTCACAACAAGGTCCTCATCCGTGCTCTCCCCTCACATCCTCAGCACCCGAGCTGGACCTGGGCAAGAAGATGAGCACACCACAAGATGTGATGCTGGAGGAGCTCTCCCTGAGCACCAACCGTGGCTCTCAGCTCTTCCAGCAGAGGCAGAAGCGGATGCAGCGCTTCGTCCTTGAGCACCCCAGTGGTTACAGGAAGGTGTGTGCCTGGCTCCGGGGGGGGTGGTGTCCCCCACCTCTTGCAGGAGGTGGCTCAGTGGGCTGGGTGCACAGCTTGGTCCAACATCCCACTCACAGCACAGGGATGGCAGCACAGCTCTGAGCCCTGTCCTCCCCTTCTTGCAGCCCCCAGGGCCAGCTGGCTCACATGGCACCGAGAGAGGAGAAGGAGCAGCCAATGAGTGGACAGTGAGTAGACAGCATCAAAGATAGCATCAAAGTGTTCCTGCTTGCATCCCTCGCTCCCCTGTTTTGGGCAGCTGGGCAGGCTGAGCCCCCAACCCTTCCATCCACAGGCTGGGAACGCTGAGGGCCAGCAGAGTTTTCACTCCGAGCTGCACGTGGCAGTGTCACCCCATGGTGGGCCTCCCGAGGTGCCCAAGAAGACGGAAAAAGTCTTGCACATGATCAAAGTCCTCAATCCAGATTCTCTGGCACCAGGTAAGCTTGCATCCCAAATCTGACCCTGCTGTGATCTCCATGCAGTGCTATAGGACAGATGGGCAGTGCACCATGGTTGTCCCTCAGAGGACGTGATTTGAATGCTGTGCTTTCCCTTCCCTCCCTCCCTGCCCATGGGGGACAGCCCCCAGCCAGGAGTGAAGAGGTCCTCCTCATCCCAGATATGCCACAAGCTCTGCACGTGCCCTGGAGTCTGCAGAAAGCCAGTGTTGCCACACAGCCCCTTGGATTTACGGATATATAAATACAGCAATGTTTTTATACGTATGTAACCCTCTCCACCAGGGTACTCAACCCCTCTCAAAGAGGTGCCCCCAGAGAAGTTCAATGTCACCGCCATTCCCAAGGGCTACCGCTCCCCGTGGCATGGACACATGGGTGACAAGGACAAGGCTGTGGGCATTGAGAGCCAGCTGCCCATGAAACTCCCATATGGGGATTTCGTAAACTTCAACAGGTAAGGCTGGATGAGGTGTGGGCAACCCCAGCCTGGGGCACCTGCATCCATCCATCCATCCATCCATCCATCCATCCATCCATCCATCCATCCATCCTATCGGGTACCCTCAGGGACACCTGCTGAACCTTGGAGGGCTTGTTCTCATTCCTGGAGAAGGGTTCTCTGATGTTCTCTGTCAGACTCAGCTCCCAGGTGGGTGGAAGAGTGGCACAGGCAGCACCAAATCTCCCTCCTAATTTTCTTAAGGTAGCCAAACAGCTGCTGGAAGCACGGGGGTGCAAAGGTTAATCTTCTCACAAGGTGCTAAGAGGTCACCAGCTCCTTTCCAAACACCTGTTTGGGACAGAAGGCTCCAGGCATGCTGCTGGTGGCTCAGCCTGGCAAGCTCTGTGCTCTGTAGCTGCTTCCAGCAAAGCTCAGCTGCTGTGTCCCCTGCGTGCCTCCCAGTTACAGCAGGGGCAAGGTTAGCACCTGGAACGGGCACTGCCAAGGAAAAACTACCAGCACTTGGTGGCCATTCAGGAGATCTGGTGGTAGAGGCAGCCCACAGCTTGCCAGCTATTCACCTCCAGCGCTGTGGTGCAGTAACAGCAGGGAGCTGCTGTAAACACTTGGCTCTTTCCTTTCAGCATTTACCCATCTTCCTGCCTCAGTATTTATTTACGGACAGAGACTCAAGCAAGGGCATGTTTCTGAATGATGCTTTACCCTGCACCATTTCTCCCCTCTCACACGCTGCCTTTCTATTTAAAGCCTTGAACTGTTATTTAATACAGATTGATGCTAATTTAACACCGAGCCTCTCACCACCTCCTCTAATTCTTCACTGAGGCATGAAGATTCAAGAGAGCCAATCTGCTTTCAACTTGGGCTTGTCATGATCTTCCAAGCTGTTGGCTTTTAAATCACTTCTCAGTTCATCAAATACCAAACTGCAGAAAAAACATGCTTTTTGGAACAGAGCAGCCCGCGAGAAGCCAGCAGCCTTGCCTCGAGCTTGGTGAATCCCAGCACAGCTCACATGTGTCACGGGGAAAGGCAAAGTTCACCATCTCAACAGCAACTGCTTTAAAGCAGACTGATTTCTTCTCAGCTTTCATGCTGTGAAGCACAAACCTTCAGCCAGCTTGCTGAAGTTTGCTACCTTAAGAGAGAGTGAAAACAAAGCTCTGAAAGTGACTCTTAGTGGGACAGAGACAGCTTCCCAACCGGCCTCTCATTTACCTTTCCCCTCTTATTTCTCCCTGGGATGCTGTTGCAAAACAGTGCCACGTTGCTCATGTTCACGCAGCGCTACCCAAAGCAAACACTCCCAGCTCTGCCTTATTGATAGATGAGCCCCAATGCAGTGCTCCAAACCCAACATTCCTGGCTTTCTGGGGGCTGGCACTGCTCACCCCGCTCCCTTTCGACATTTCTCCAGAAAGGGATGACAGCTCTTTGCCCCCGCGCTGCTCCTCCTGTTCGTCAGAGCTCAAGAGCCGTCCCAAAAGGCGAGGTGGAGCGAGGGCCAGGAGAAAGCCATTTGCCTGAACATGTGCTAGAGCGATCAGGAGGCGGCATGAGGAGCCTCAGCCCCTGCAGAACGCATTAGCTGTGAACAAGCTGCTGCCTGTAGACCAGAGGGTCTCTCTCAATGTAACCCCTTTTCGCATCTCATGAAAACAGACTGTGGTAAATGCACCAGCAGGCTCCCTCCCTCCCTCCCCGGTGCAGCCATGAGCACTCACACACCAAGAAGCATTACCCTGGCCTGCCCAAACTTGAACGCAGCTTCACTCTGTACAGAAGTACACTGCTGAGCAAGCAGAGTGCGAGAGCATCCTGGGAAGCTATTGCTGTGCTGCTGGGCTTGTTGAATTAAGGCTCCCAGAGCTGCTTTACGCATTGCTTTCAAAACATGCACACCATCTACCGCAGTGCTAAGTTCACCCTCTCTGTGCCACAGGACTCCCACCCCGTTCGACAAAGCCCAGCTCAGCGACCTCTTCTACGTGCCTCCTGCCGAGCTGGACCTGAGCATTCTGGAGGTGATCGCCCGCAGGCCCAACTTCAACAGAGTCCCTCAGGGCTGGGCACGAGTTCTGCCTGAGAGTGATGAGCTGTAGCACCCACGCTCCCTTCCCCATCGCCACGGATGCTTTTCTCGCTAGAGTGAACCATACTTTGCACAGCGGGGGAGAGGGGATGAAATCTTCCTGCCTGGCACTTGGTGAAAGTCAAGCTAGCGGTCTCACGTTGTCATTCTTTTCTATGGGATTTGAACAAGCTCAGGTCTGGGACCATTTTGAATTCTCCCCACGCCAGTCACTGCCACAAGGACGTTTAGCGCTAAGCTGAGCAGCCAAGTTCTCACCGCCGATGCAAGGAGATCCCTGTGAGCTCCCACCGCCGTCACCGCACAAAAATCCTGAGCAGGCTGTTCTCTCCCCCGTGCTTTGGAAAATGGCAGGACCACCAGCTGCAGCGCACCGAGCAGCCTCACTGCTCGCTGACACACAGAGCTGCTCTGACAGGTGGCGCCTTTGCGGAGGAATTCCATCTTAAGGACAACTCCTCAGCTGCCGTTCTGCTCGGGACAGCGAGAGCCGAGTGCTGACAAACTCCAGCAGAACCAGCCACCAGAGGCACAGGCATGTTAATGCAGTTACGTGAGGCTGGACAGCAAAAGCAAATGATGAACTGGCGAGCCGCCTGTTTACCAACACACGTTCAGCACAGCCTGGAGACGAGGAAAAGGTCAAGAGCTGGAAATTTGTGCCGTTTCCTTAAACTACTGGCTAGCTGCAGGTGTTGCTTTCTCCTCCTTCCTCCTATCTGCATGCCTTAAGATCAAATTAAGCTCTTCAATCAGCTTATGTCAGCTTGGCCTCATACAGCTGGTAAGGATCAGATCCTGCTGGACCAGACACACTGCAGAGCTGCACAGGTCACAGATCTGAATGCTACTGCCAGGGTGTCTGAGTAGCTTCAGCATCCACGGGGAGGAACAGCAGCACAGCTGTGCCCCTACTGCAACCCTGGGCCTCTCCATAATGCAAGTACCAGCGGTGAGGATTTGACTACAGGAACTTTCCCAGCAGTGACAGGCAGTGGGACGTGCAGCTAACAGCAGCACCCAGCACAGCCATCCACAGCACCTGAAAAGTCCTGCTGAGCGCTAACAAAAACCTGTAACGCTTTCTACAACTGCTTTTGTCAAGTTCTTCATGTCACTTTTATTTAACCCTGTGATAAAAGGAGCATTGGGATAAAAGTGTTTGTTTTTTTTCCTACACCACTGTGGTTAAACCAGTAAATTTTGGTGTAAGATGCAGCTAACAGCTGCCTCGCTGATAAAATATATTTTTGATCCATGGATGCATAGAGGAAATCCCAAACAGGAGTTCTGCTGCAGCAACGCATCGTACAGGCAGGAAACTTGCATTGCTGTTTTTCTCACAGAAGCAAGAGGGGATGAGCAAATGGGACGAAAAAAGGGCTATTCCTTTAACATTATAAACCTGCAACGCACAACTTCTGGCCTGTTCTAAACCCACCTCTCTTCCCTTTGTCCATCAGCTGAAGAAAATGCTTACCTGTGAGGATTTGGTTAGAAAATAAATTAATTGCCATCACGTAAAGCTTGCCCGAGTTCTGTCTGCAGCGCTCACAGGCCCTGCCTGGAACCCTGGGGCCACAGCAGCAGCAGCAGCAGCCCTCCTCACCCACCAATGTGCCCCAGCCTCCCCCAGCGCTGCCTCTCACCTGATGAGAGCCAAACTGCTGAGCTCTGCCCAAAGCTCAGTCCTTCCTGCAGGGAAGTGCAGGCTGTGCCTCTGACTGCACCACGTGCCTTCAGCAGGATCAGCGCCCGGTGCTGCAGGGCAGTGCGGAGAGCCAGCAGTGTGTTCAGTGCTACAGCACACCCTGTAGCTGCTTTGGTGGCAGTTGAATAAAATCAAAGTCCTCAGGCACCCTGCTCCAGGGTCAAAGCAAAGTACTGAAAAATTCACATATTTTAATGTATTTTTTTTTTTAAACAAGCAAATGAGGCTTCAGAAGAGGTCCCACTGTGTTTTGCTTTACAGAGAAATGCCCACAGATCCATTACAAGCAGCAGACATACATATCATCTTAAAATTCTCTAGCCCTGTGCCCATACATCTTATTCAACTGCAGGCTCTATGGAAGACACAGCTGCTCCTAGACAAATGCTATGGGTGGAGGCAAACAACAGAAAGGTTTCACGTCTTATCAAATCAGAAACATACTGTATGCATCTCACAGGTTCAAGTCTGCATCAAAACCCTTGAAAGCCTGAAACATGCTCTGAAAATACACAGGACAAGTTTGCAGCTGTACTTTGCTGCTGACAGCTGCAGGGGGTGCAGAAGCCCAACCTCTGGGGACCTTCATTAGGTTAAAACTGCTCACCTGTCACTCCAGGCCACGCCTGCACTACCAGCTGGCTGCCTGCTGCTCATCTTGCTCAAGGTAGGGTTAGAAATAAAGCACCAAAAGCTTCTTTCTTTCTTTTTTTTTTTTTAAGTCAAAAAAAAAGGAGAAATTCTGTGGCACTTGTCAGGCAAAGCCATGAGTTTGGCACATGTGATAAGCTTGTTTTTCAGCTCTTATTCTGTCCTGGCTTAATAGTACAAGATTAATACCTAATTAGAATAACAAGTCATTACTTAATTGACGTAGAGAAGTCTCTCATCACATTTAAACAGTCCATAATGTTCAGACTGAAGATACCAAATGGGCTTGAATAGGGTTCGATCTGGTTTTTCCAGAAGTTTATTTCAAAAGTGTGCAAATGGGATACACTAACAGCACTGTAATTCTGATACATCTGATCCCCACCTGACAGTCCTTTCTGCCCCCCTCCCACCCCACCCCCATACACTACATGAAAGATCTGTGATGTCTTAACGATCTGATCAGCTAACAGCGACACAGAGCTCAGCTTGCCCAGTGTCTGCAAGCAGGGAAATAAGGCTTCTCTAGTTCACCCACAGCTCAACATACGGCACTACCATGGTAACTAGAAAATAACATTTACTGAAATGACAAGGGTGGCACGACGTGCTAGGGGCTGCTGTGCTTTCCTGCGTGGGCACCCATCCTCTGGGGATCTTGAGAAGGGTAGTGAATGGGGCCTGGGGCTCTCATGAAGGGAGGCGGTGGCCCCATGGCGTGGAACATGTGTGGTCCAAAGCCTGCAGGAAAAAAACAGCTGTCACGTACAGACAAAGCACCAGAGCACTCAGTGTGGACCCACTGCTGTTTGAGTACCGATGGAAAACACCTGGCTAACTGCTGCACGTCACAGAGGTGCTGTGATTCCTCAGGTCTTCAGAACCACTCCTCTCTTTTCAGTAAAACTGGGAGCAACACTTAAACAATACACATCCTCAGTCGCAGATAAAAGCTGGTGGGGGACTGGCACGTGTGTCTAAGGTCAATCTAAATTGCCTTCTACTCAGCTGTGGAGCAGCTACATCCACAAGACATGATGCCCCACAAAAAGACTTGTCTTCAGACAGATACAGACACAGCCAAACACAGGCTGGCATTCAACCAGCTGCAGAATTACCCTTTGATGTTCAGGTTAATGCACCGTGTACCCAGTCAGCAAATACCCTGAGCAGATCTGAATACCAGTAACAGGGATCTCTGACATGCCTGAAAACTTGGAAGTGAATACACACCACAACAGGCAGCTCAGTTCAACCAAAGCGTGCTGACGGCTCATTTCATACAATTGTTTTAGATTGCATGATCAGAGATGAGGAAAATCAGTGTTACAGCCCAGCTGAGCAAGGACTACATCTCTAGCCCTCCGTGCTGGAACCCCAATTTCCACACCTTCATCTGAAGAGGAGAATCAAGTACCTGGAGGTGGTGGTGGAGCAATGCCAGGAGGCGGCGGCAGGGCGATGTTAACCACAGCTGGAGGGCCACTAGGAGGTAGATTGAAGTAATTTGCAGAAGCCTCCTCTTCTGCAGCTGGAGGAGGTGGGAGGGCTGCAGGATACAACAACAAAAAGCAAACGCACTGTGGTTATGGAAATCCCAAGAGCTGCAGAAGCATCTTCCTTTAGGGAGGAGAAACAACCAGTGTGCCCTTGTGGAAGAACTGCTGAACACCCCCCCATTTTTATCCACCAGAAGCCAGCTTTGTTTTTTTCCTTCACACAACACTCAACGAATTACAAAAACATGAATCAAGCCTTCAACAGTCTGTGTTGCCAGTATCTCGGAGCTGAGTGACTTTCATTCACCAGTCACATGATAACCTTTTTTTCAGCAAGAATTTGCTTCTACGCAAAGCTCACTTCCCATTCCAGATGGATCTGCCACAGACCTACTGTCAGGAACTGCTTTGGGCTCACCAGTGCCTCTACTGTCCTGAGCTGATATTGCTTGCAGAGCTTTAACTCCAGCCCTTCCCATGGAGGCAGGTCAGCTTCAGAGATGAAAGCTACTCCCTTACCTCCGGGAAGTCCTGGAACCGGCTCCAGCTTTATCCCGGATTCTGTAGTACCTTCCTTGTCCTTCTCTTTACCTCTCGCTGCCTGGGACCTAAAAACACACAAAGGACAAGGATGAGAAAAGGCAAGGTAAGGAGATACACTGATAGTTCTACATTTCATCATTTAGATCCACTGCTGCAGGCCAGAAATGAGCAAAAATTACTCAGAGGTGGCTGGAACCAAGTATGGAACCAAGTATGCCATACTGTTTACAAGATGTAGAGAGGAAGCACAACCACAGAAACTCATCTGTGACCTTCAACCAGCAAACTCCCTACACAGTTTGTGTTATCTCGAACCCAGATCCCATTACTTGGCAAAAAAAAGAAGAAAAAAAGAACAGACTGTAAGAGAACCCCAGCTATGTAGCAGCTCATTACCTACTTCAGCTTAACAGCCAATCCAGCTCTCCAGATTCCATAACTAAATAAAGATCCACACAGTTCTGTCTATTTGAGAATCAAGCCCCCGAGGACAGCATGCACAGGGCAACTGAGAAAGTGATAACGTGTCTCCGTGTCACTCCAGTGCTCACCTTCCCCACTTGACATTGAGCCTGCGGCCGTTGACAATGAGCTTGTTGAAGGATTTCTCAGCAGCCACTTCTGCAGCTTGTCGGGTGGCAAACTGGATGAAAGCACACTGCTGCCTCTGCACGACTGTTATCGTCCGGATCTCCCCAAACTGGTAGAAGTGATTTCTGCGTGGAGGGAGGATGAGAGAGGATGAAAGCCTGCTCCTCTTAGCCACAGAATAACAGCAGTTAAATGTGACCAAACAGGTATGTTCGGATCCTTTCCTTTCTCCATCACCAGTTCAGAGCAGTGAGTACAAATCAAGCCACTTGCTCTTGCATGTAATTGTGGAACAATAAAAGAAATGCTTTAGTGTAGGATAAGGGTTGGGGCTTTTCTCAGCAGCCAACTAGAGAGAAGATATGGAATTTGTTGTAAAAAGTAAAACACATTATCCCCAAGAACTCAGAAAGATGAATCATCTTTAAGACTTCTCTCTTAATCAAAGCTCTTGAAATGTGCTTGTTTATTTGTTCTCCAACAAGCTGGCACTCCTCTGCACTTGCCCACGAGTTCCCCATTAAAGAAAACTGAAAGCCAGTTTTTTTGCCCCCCTTTGAAGGACAGATTTCCTCCCTTGAAGGTGAGAAGTACCCAAAGCATAAAACATACAAGCAGACACACCAACACACCTGAGATCTGATTCAGTGATAGTATCTCCAAGCCCTCCAACGTACAGCGTAGTGATGGTCTTATCATCAGGAGGGTCCAGTCGAGGCATGGTCGATGCTCGTTTCAGCAGCTTATCAGCTACAGGATCATTGATTCCATAGTAACGATCCTTGATATTCTGATCAGCCAGAGGATCGTCTGGATCTGTAGGCTTCTCATGCCTGGGGTTCAGCAAACAAAGCGTTTCTTAACGCCAGCAACAGCTGCAGCTGACATGACTTCATCCACTACTTTCCCCTCTAAACACCATCTGCTTGCTTGTACGCTTCGCCCTGCTCACAGAAAGATGTCACACTGGAACAAAAAGCCCCAAGAAGTCAGACTGGGGCTACCAACACGCTGCTGGCAGAACTGCCTGGAGCTCAGAATGAATGGCACTTCTGACAGCCAAGCATTCAGTACTACAAAACGTAAGAGCTGGATTTCAAATGGCCTCTTGTTCAAATACAAAGACCTGTGATTGTGGGGACTGACGCCACGACGGGAAGAAATGAACTATGCAAGAGAAGGGCTGCAGTCACTGCTTTGGCAAAACACCACAAACCTACGCAGCAAATTCCTCACAGATGAGCCTGTCACAACAAGGACTTTTCCACGGATGCTGCACGCCACCTTACTGCTAATTTCACACCAACTCCAATCACAGTGCTGCACCTCCTGCCCACTGCAGCACTTCCTGTTCTTCAGTCCCTAAGGGGAGGCGTATCTGACCACAGTGAACAGAAACTATGTAAGATATTGCTGTACCTGTAAGGACATTCTTCTCCTCTCTTGCATTCCCCTTTTACCCAGAAGGAACAGATGTGAGGACGATTACGTTTGTAGTAAGGAGTGGTCCGAGCCAGCTTCAACAGCATGTCACTGGTAGAAGTAGCTTTTCCTAGTGCACCCACTGGTCTAGTGCCATCAGAGTTGGCTATCTACACAGCAGTTAAGAGCAGACAAATTATTACAGATATACACACACACACAGTGCTGACACGTAATGCAGAATGAAAACAAACACATGATGTGAAGATGACGTAGGTCATTCTTTTTTGGAGAAAGTGTGTTTGATCCCCTCCCTCCCCTGTCCGCATCCAAACACAAAGACCATGCTCACAATGATGCTTTCTCACCTCTCGCTCCATGTTCTGGGTGTAGTACTCTTTATTGACATCAGATTTAGGCATTTCATCCTTAAGGGACAGTCCTGCATCCCGGACTTGAATAGGCAAACCTAGAATTAAACAAACAAAAAACCCCTATGAAGCACAAGCTGAAAGAGCAAAAAAATAGTTACTGCAACTCAGGGTAAGCAGATATAACTTGTCTCCTGCTCAAGCACACCAAGCTGCCCCTGAATCTCAGAAGAGATTTGATCACAAAGACTTGCTCTTCTCAAAGTCTGGAAACAACTACTCCAATGTCATGCACGCATTTTAAGAAGCTTTCAGAAGCAAGCAGAGCTGCTGCTTCTCTCAGCCGGCCCTTTGTGCTACACACCATATTCCAGGTCAAGCAGACAGGTTTGACAGACATTCTTCAACTTGCTGCAGGTCTGGCACACTTCTGTCTTCTTGAAACGCATCCGAACACCAGGACACCAGCGGAACACTGTGAAAGGCCTGGCACAAATCTGAAAGACAGACAAGCGAGCTGCTGTCGCACCACAGCCAAGATACCAGAGCAGTTCCTGCATGGAAATGTAGAACTCAAACACGCCTAGGCTCACTGAAATCTTCAGCAAAGTTCTAGGCAAAAAAAGTTGAAGAGCTCAGGATAATGCTGATTGCTATTTGCTGCCTTACTGTGAGAGGAGGAAGCTTTTGGAAGGTCTGGGAAGGTTTGGAGTTGTTTAAGTAACCTGAATGCTGAAAGCAGATCTACTCAAAGGAAAGAATTCATTTTTTATTCCAGATGATGTCAGCATGGAGCTACTAGAGACAAATTACCAATAATGAGTAAACGAAGAGGTCACTGAAATTGCAGCACGCCAGCGAGAGCTTACTGACACAGGAAGTACTGCCCTCTGTGTTGTGTGCTGGAAAAATGCATCTGCTCCTGCTGCACATGTATCTGAGGAACAGAAGCAAGACCTCAACACGTGCCTTGTCCCTGCCTCGGGTGAGAATGGGGCAGAGGGACAACTCAAGTCAAGAAAAGCCAAATGATTCTTGCTCTCTCAGATACAAACCTGCCTTATTTCGTACAATGGCCAACACAAATTATTAGCTGGCAAAGAATAACAGATCGACAGCAAAACCTAAACTCCAGTGACTTCTGCATCACATAGCAGTAAAAACAAACTTGCAACAGAAAACATGAAATACTTCAGCACAATCTAATAATTGTAATAACTGTGAGCAAATTTTAACTCTGTTAGCAGTAATTTTATGATTCAAGAGTAACACAGTGAAGATGATGCAAATGAAACTTCATGTAGTTTTGTACATGTTAAGCTCTTAGCCAAGATAAACACTTTCCTGAAGCCAGCAGATGTTTTAAAAAGCATTGAACACACATTACTTACTCCCAGATGTGCACCAATTTAGAAGCTCATTCTTCAAAAAGACAACAAACATACCTTGCATTCTTTTCCATATTTCTCTTTGGTCTGAAATATAATAAATAAATAGAAAACATGAAATATCAAAATATAGTGAATGATGAAACATCATCACTGAACTTATAGCACAGTGCTCCTGCTCTTATCATACTGCATTTAGACTCGCTCACCTCTACTTTTGGTGCTTAAGCAGAATCTCTCTTGCCTGGCAAACAGGACCAAAAAAAAATAATCTAAGAAACTCTCAACCTATTTTCATTTTAGAAGCACTCATTAAAACAAAGTATTACGAGCACCACCTCACATACCAAAGAAAAACAATCATGAAACAGATTATTAATGCTATTTTTAATCAAAATGATGTAAGTGCATAAAGCAAACACACCAAAACAAAGCATTTTTTAAATATCTATACGGACTATAAAGTCACATTCCATAAGAATATAACAGCTCTCAGCAAACCTGGGGAAAGGAAACGCAAGGCAAAGATAATCTAAAGGTATGCCCCGTGTAACTGGACTGAGCACTGAGAAAAGCAGCATGGAACGGCCTGACTCATCCTGGACATATTAAACCAAGGTCAACAAAGCAGGATTTAAATTACTGTCAGCAGCCTTTCTAAGACAGCTCCAGCTCATTTTCATGTTATGCAGGTTTTAGAGATTGTGCTCATCTATTTAATATTTCAGCAGCTCGTTGCTTCCCACGTCACATGATTTACTGGTACCAAAGCTTTATTGGTATTTCCTGCACTACAGACATCAGACTGTGACATCCTGCTCAGCTTTTGGACCGAGTTATTGTCAAACCCTGCACCGACCACCACAATGTGATGCACTAACAAAGGCACGAAGTAAAGCCTGCAGTGCACAGCCAAGGAGCCAGTGCATGCCCTCAGCATCCCCTCCTGCATCCAAGCTTGCTTGAGCCCTCAAAACTGAACAGTTGTATGGCCATCAGCACCCAACGAAGGGCACAGGGCCACCAGCACATACCATGCGAATGTACGGGTTTTCTCCAAGACACGTCTGGCACAGAATAGGGAAGTCCTAAGCGGAGGAAAAAGAAAGAAAACGTGCACCGAGCAATCAAATCATCGCAAGAGCACTGGAACCACCCTCTGCGCTCACCCTGCCGAGCGAACCCGGCCTGCCTTAACAAGGTGCTCATAGAACCGGCTCACAGAAGCCATATGAGAAGCCGTAACCCACGCCCTGATGGCTAAAGGACCGCAGCAGGCCAGCCGCTCCTGTTCTCACCGCCCACCTCACACGCACTCAACCCAAAGGACGTTCCCGAGGCCCGCGCTCCCCAGCTCCGTAGCAGAAGCCGCCCTCGGCCCTAGGGGCCCCATCGCGTGGCCTCGGCCCAGCCCGCAGTCCCCAGTCCCACAGCACGGCCCCCCGCCGCCGGCCGGATCCCCCCGGGCTCACCGCATCCTCCCAGTTCTGCCGGTTGTAAGTGTTGGAGCCCAGCGACGTCGACATGGCGGCCCCGCGCCGCTCCGCTCCGCCTCGATCCCGGCAGGCGGTAGGACCCGGAAGTGACGTCACTTCCGCTAGCGACGCGCTGACGCGGGAGGAGCAGTGGGGGCGCTCTAGGCACTGTCCTAGACAACCATAGAGATGAGCCAACGCGGCAGAATCAGCAGGAGCGAGCGGGAGTGAAGGCGGTGGGCGAGCAGGGGTGCTCAGCTTTTCATATTTTAATTGTTACTACTTCCCCATTAACGGCGGTGTAAATAACAGTGCTGAGCCTGAGAGCCAAGGTCGCTTTATTGAAGATTACTACATGAAGTTAAGCAGTAAGGCAACAGTCGCCTGTCATTACGGGTAACACCGATGGGCAAGAACTCCTGCGACCCGGGAGCAAGGACAGACAGACGGACAGACACAGCTCACGGCATTGCTATCACCTACAAGCACCTAAAGGAGAGGAACATCTCACCGAGCACACCGGACTGCTCGGACAGCCACCGATCTGCGCCCCCAGCAGCTGTCGGCAGGCACAGAGCCCAGCAGCTCCTCGTTGTCCAGGAGCACAGAGCACAGCCCAAGCCCATCCCGATGCCTGCGGTGGCGCTGGGACCGGGAGCTGCAGCCAGAGGGCTCCATCAGCCAGCAGCATCCCAAAAGCTGCTTCCATAGGTAGTAGTGTTGCGGCTAAGGAGAGAACTGATGGCCACGGTTTAAGTGTTTTGTTATCTGGAAGGTAAAACAGCAGCAGACGCTAGCGCTATACATTAATAAATACAAACTACACTTCTTAAACTCATGCTGTACACCTGTGTAACCTAGGCATTGTAAACGTGCTGACTTGCTGCTCTGGGAGGTGCTGCAGGAGCAGGGCTGTAAGGCGCGTGCTTCCCTTCCGGGCACAGGGAAACCAGCCCTCTGGGCACACTAAGGCAGGCTGCTTGGTTTGCAGGAGACGTGGCCTTATCCCTCTCTCCCACACAGCAGTTTGCAGCTCTGGGGTGGCAGAACCACAGCACAAACATCGTGAGCAACAAAGCTGTCCTTGGCTGATACACAAACGCCTCCCAAAGCCAGCACATCAAAGCTCCATCAGAAACAGGTAATGAAAGTAAACATTGAACTGGGAATGAAATTGAAGTCTCCCAAGGACAAACAATCTCACCCACTCGCACTGTCCTACTGCAGTGAACTGGCATTCGGTATCCTGCATACACTCTTCTTAACTAAAAGTTTTAGCTTGGGCTATGGCCACATTACACCCCAGATAATGTTTTTCTTTTTTTTTGTACAGTGTATGCTAGTTACAGTGTAACAGCCTTTCCTCCTTTATACCCCCACTCCCACAGCTGGAAAACAGTATGAACTTGGACAGCCTCAGTAGTTTTTTGTATGCTAGAGCTAATCTCAATTCTCCAAGTTTAGTACTGATTGCTATCCCTATTAACACACATTTATTAATACGAAGATTGACAGGCAGCCTCTCAGGACCACTCTCACCTCAGTAAAGAAATGTAGCACAATGGGACTTCCCAGTTTCTAACAACTCACACTACCACATCCACCTTGCAAAACGACGAGCCTACAGTGTGGTTGGTGGCCAGTCAGATCCACGAGCACTGCAGTATTTCATGTTCTGGGACTGAAGACAAAGTGACCGTTTCCTTTGTGAAAAGATTTACCACTTTGGCTAAGGAAACTGCATGTGCCAGAGTGTTTTTTTCCACAAGAACAGAAAGGGTTGTACAACCGAGTGCCCCACAGTTATTTGAGGTATCCTAACAGGAAGCAAAAAACAAAGGAAAGAAAGCATCATGCTGCAGCAACAGACTTGTCAGTAACGCAGCAGACACTGCCACCTCCTGAAATGTTTGTTTGAGAAGGGCATAGCTCCATGTGGGGAAAAAGTTCACTTCTGTGTATGTAACATTAGGTTCGTGGGCTGACTTGAAAGAAGAAGAAAAACAACAGGGTTTCTTTTTTGTCGATAAAGCCAAATTCAGCCAGTAACACAAATCTGGAGAAAGCTAGCTCTATCTGCGTGCTGAAACACGTGCTGCGAGTTAAACTAGCCTGTGGCAGTGTGGGGAAGCAGAGCTTTAGTTAGTGGGCACTACGATAAGAAGAGAGAACAAATCATCCCAAACCACAGCACCCTCACCCACGCAGCCTCCTCCTGACGGCCTGGCTGCAGCCCGTGGCACACACCCACACATCACACAGGAGCTTTCACAGAAGGTTTCACCAGGGTGCATTCTTTCACTGACAGTCCAGCCTGCAGCCAGCCACGGGGACACGAGTGCTGGGAGCTTTTAGGGGAGCACTGGACCGAGGCTGAGCTCAACGTGGTGGGTAAGCCAGATGACCTCTGAGACCTGGTCGCACTCCTCACTGGGCCGGATTGGAGCAGCAAGGTTTTTAAACTCGTGCTTCATCTTAAAGCTCACGGTCACGTCGCCCTCCTCTTTCTGCGGGGTAACCTTGATGAAAACTCCTACCTTGTTGGCTTTTCTGAAGGCAATAACGCTGCAAAACAGAAGACAAAAGAACTGGGTCAGCTGAGTTCTCCATCTATTGTTCTGAGAGATTTATTCTGACACAAAGTAAGAGGGATGCTCAGTTTACAGCCCACGGCCTGAACATGCCTCACTAGAACAATTGCTCTGGTTGGCGGCTGCTGCTCTTTTCCCAGGGGACTCACAGCCCCTCCTGCCTCAAGATCAGAATGCACTACCCTCCTCTAAGCTGGCAGCTGCTGGCAGAACAGAACATGCCTGCTTTGGCCATGAAAGTTATGTACCTAGTTAGTTATGCAACAGAGAAAGGCCGTAATACATGGTCCAAGCTACTCTGTAAGAGGCTGTAGGGTGTATTTCAATGCTAAAGCTGGAGGCAACTCTGTTGTACACACTATTGTGTGGTTCCCATCACTTCTTTGAACCCTCTGCTTGCAAAGGAAAGGATTACAAGAGTATTGAAGAGAGAATCAGTACCAACACCTATAACTCAACTGCTCTAACACCATAATTGTTTTGAAGGGATGAAATGTCTTCTGAACATTCCAAACCACAAACAGAAGAGAAAGATTTGCACTGCTCCTCTCTGATCACAAAGCTAAACAAATTAACAATTAAAAACAAAGAAAGAAAAAAGCACCCAGAACAGAGAGAGTACAAAGCAAACTACTTGGTTAAAGTGCCAAGCATTTCAGGGACAGGGTCCCTACAGGACAGACAGCACTCACTCAGGGTCATCCTGGAAGTCCTGAGGCTCTGCCAGCTCATCATACTCTGCTGCAGCATCTTTGCCAGCCAGAATAAGCTCCTTAGGAGGAACTACCACCTGAAACAAAACACCAACAGAAACCTTTCAGTACTGAGCACCATCTACACCACAAACAGGACAAAGTAATTCTCTTTGAGGGAATTAAGCTCTCCTACAGCTTAATAGAATGATTTACCCTTGGCTTCTCCCTCCTCTGGCAGTCTCTATTTACAACTCTTATCTGTGAAGTCACATATTTTTCCCTTGGGCTCTGGATCTCAATGATCAGACAGAATTTTAAAATACATTAAGAGCTGATGTTTACATTGATGGTGGTAATTTAAACCTCCCAGGAAGAAAAGGAAACACAGTCAGTATGGACTAAAGGTCCACATGAGGAAAGATAAACGGGAGCAGAAAGCCTTGGAAGAGGCCTGGCTTGCACAGCAGGTACAATACCTTGGCACTGCTGTTAACGTTGTCAGGGTCTCCTTCTTCACACTCCAGCAGCGTGACATGTGTGATATTTTCCACTGGATTGGTCAGAGTCAGAAGAACTTGGCTTTCCTGGAAAGATTCAAGAATTGCAAGTCAAGAAGTCATCGTGCTAAAAGTCATCATTACTGTCAGCACCCCCACTGTGTGACCAATCGACACCTTCAAAAATCACACTGCTTACTCAAAGGATGGACAGCAAACAGCCCCATTCCTTCAGAATGCTGGCAACATCATGCAGCTCTCCACACCATTTATTCTTCAGACACCAGCATGTACTTGTTATGCCAGACACCAGACTGCACTGTAATCTACTCACACGGTGTGACAAGTGCAGGCACTCTTATTCTGACCGCTCCCTTAAGCCCTGCACTCTCTCTGAACAAAGCTAGCAGAGCCCTCAGGAAACAATCCCACATCCACACCTCTCAGTTATATCTTACCCTAATGTGTTTCTGCAAGAAAGAACTGACCTTCATGTAGCGCAGGTTGGGAATAGACATGATTCTCACTTCAGGGATGTAGTTACTAAAAGAACAACAGAGCGAATGAATGGGATAAACTGCATTGCTGCCTGTAACCTGTTGAAGTAAGTATTCACAAGCATCTGGATAGCATGTTCAATGATACTAGTGCTTAGCTTACATCAAGCAAATAAATGAAGAGCCTTTTGCTATCTAAGGCTAAACCTACAACTCCTGCTACTACATGGGGCTGAACTGCATGCACTGCCTTTTTCAGACTGCTGAGGTCCTCAGCAAGCTTTCAATACACGAGCGAGCAAACTTACTACAAATTACTCAAATACATAAATTAACTGATTATGTCATTTTAACAGATTACACAATTACACACAAGATCAAAGCTCAAAAGAAATTAAAATATAAAGCTCTAAGTATTGGTAGGCAGTTGCTGGCCCCACCCTCCACATCTTACTTACACAGCAACCATCTGGATCTTGAATTTGATGGATGTTGGGTTGAATTCTGGTTTGCTGAGGTTATGTTCACATTTCTAGACACAAAGATATTTTTGTTAGCACCAAAAGATAGCGTGTGCTCACAAACAGATGAGCCAGAGCTGCAGGCACAGGGCCACCTAACCACAGCACTACCAACCTGTAGCACAGTACACATCAAGCTATCTTGGGGTGCATGTAGCCACAATGGTGGCAAGTTACTGATACTTTGTATCAGTATCTTATCAGTTCTATAGGTGCAATTTCAGAAATACAACTTGGAACCAAGCTTAAAAATACTCAGACATTGACTGGAGCAGAAAGAAGGCACAAATAACTGGAATCCAAGGCTGACCTCTTTGTGGGCT